ACCCTGAGCATTTTGGTTATTCAGAAGAAGTTGTTTAAAGGTTTTTTAATACAATTGACCCCTGTGACCTTGAATATAATTGAAGGTCATTCATTTGAACAAACTTGGTAGCCCTTCACCCAAGCATGCTACTGGCCAAATATCATCTCCCTGGGCATTTTGGTTATTGAGAAGAAGATGTTTAAAGTTTTTGACATATTTGACCCCTGTGACCTTGAAAATAGGTGAAGGTCATTAATTTTAACAAACTTGTAGCCCTTTATCCAAGTTTGCTTCTGGCAAAATATCGACACCCTAGGCCTTTTGGTTATTAAGAAGAAGTTGCTTAAAGTAAAATATTGACGCCAGACGCCGGACGGACGGACGGACGAGGGATGCCGCGCCACTGCATAAGCTCACTTGGCACTTCAACCCTTTTTGGCCCCAACCATCAGCCCCGGGGGGGTCAGTCAGGGCTCATATGTGCATACCATCAAACTGCTATCCAATGCTTATAGTGCTAACCCAAATTGAATTACTTCCAATAAAATTAAACAAATGTTGGTCCAAAATGTGATTTCCCTATATAAACTATAATAAATTTTACCCCTCCCCAGGGGTAAACGTGAGACCCCAGGATCATGAAATTCACAATTTTGGTAAAGCACCTTAAGGTCCTTCCATCTATGAAGAGTGTTTGATTCTACCATATCTGGGTCTTGAGAAGAAGATTTTTGAAATTTCAGTCAATTCAACCCTTTTTGGCTCCTCCCATCAGCCCCGGGGGGGGGGTCAGTCAGGGCTCATATGTGCATACCATCAAACTGCTACCCAATACTGATAATGATAACCCAAATTGAATTATTTCCAATGGAAATTAAACAAATGTTGGTCCAAAATGAGATTTCCCTATATAAACTAGAGTAAAGTTTACCCCCTCCCCAGGGGGAAACGTGAGACCCCAGGGTCAAGAAATTCACAATTTTGGTAAAGCACCTAAGACCCTTCCATCTATAAAGAGTATTTGATTCTACCATATCTAAGTCTTGAGAAGAAGATTTTTGAAATTTCAGTCAATTTGACCCTTTTTGGCCCCGCCCCTGGGGGCCGGGGAACAAACCGGCAACTATTTTTGTTGACCTTTGGCCATGGAAGGTTTCTGCAAAATTTCATTGAAATTGGTTCAGGGGTTTTGGAGAAGAAGTCGAAAATGTAAATTGTTTACGGACACACGAGGGACGACGGACAAAAGGCGATCGCAATAGGTCACTTGAGACTTTGTCACAGGTGACCTTATAACCAATTATTCCAGGGTAACGATGTTTGGCAAAGAAGCATGCTTGAATGAAGGGATTAAGAGTGTGTGCAAATGAACGACCTTGACCTACTCTAAATATAATTTCAAAGGTGAAAGTCAAAAACCGTTTTCATTTTTGTGCGATTGTGAAGTGCTTTCATTACTCTCAGTACTTTGATTTATATCAAGACATCTAATACACGCTGGTAATACTACATCGATTACTACGCACTCCTAATAAAAATATGGACAGTTTACATCTCTATTGCAGTGGGTAAACATCTGCCTTTCTTTATCGTTGCAAACCCAACCGATATAGACACAAAGATAGTTTCCAATAATCGTCCCGACGTACATAGTGGACGGACTATATGACGACATTTACGGACTACATTTCTATACAACTAAGCCCATTGGCCGCCTTTATTTATCCATTCTTTCTCTGACGTCATTTCAACTCTGAGAATCCCCAACTACTCAGTCAGCTACTGTAGACTTGCACAGGTTATTAACAGAAGGCCAAATCAGTCCTTACAGTGAAAAGCCCGTCAAATTGTTAGCCAACAATTTCTAATTATTTATATAATTGGTCCATTTAAGTATTGTTAATATTTCCTAAATCTGAATTTATAAGTTATTTACTTATTTTGCAGTGCAAGTAACTAGGAAATAAATTGTTTTTTTCCTACAGATTCCCAAGCCTCATTTCCCTTGTCAAACTTATATATGTGATCGTAAAGAAACTGACACGGAGCAATAAAGAAAATAAACCAATAGTTCTTTTTCTTAAACATTTATTGATTTATACATTAATTTAAACATAAATCAGAAGAATTGTTTTTCAGATAAACATTATAAGTGCTCTTATTTTTTCTACTGACACACTAAATAATATTTATCTTGAAGGGTGGAGTAGAACTCTGGGCCTACCAGTACCAATTTGTCAGCGATGAATATACTCCAGTTTATAACTGTCAAGCACTTCCTGCTATTCACACCTGTACATATCAGGACAATTAAGCATAGCTACATTCTTATCAGTGAATGTATCTATCACTCTCACTATATCAGTACGGTGCATTTCTCTCTAACCACCAAACCTCATGTGTTCTACACAAAATAAGCATCCTGCTTTCACTAACTGTGAAATACACTGATTTTACCAAGAGCTCACCTCATCATGCCTTCATTTTCCTCATAAAGTGTTATTATAAGTGGAATTAAATATGAAACGGCTTTACTACCAGTATTAAAATATATCAATCAGTTAAGTTTTATATACACATGTATTTATATAAATGTGTGTGAACTAAACAAAATAATTTCATATGGAAAATAACTCATCCAAATGAAATTAAATTTAAATCAGGTTTTGATCTCAAGCCTATTCATATACATGTGTTAATACTGAATTGATGTATCACTGAAGATATTAACACTGATTCATACATGTAGAAATGGAGGCCCAAGCTCTATGAAATCCACATTAATCTTTAACACTGTCTCTCCAACATGAACAGCATACACTTAGCTCGTGAAAGGTCTCTGATAAAATCTGATTTGGTATCGACATACAATATATTTCACTTACACACAGACAGCATAGGCTAATATCACAGAAAATGTATCATTGATAATATACACAAACAGCTGGACTGATGGCTAAGCAGAGATCATGTCTCCGGTAACACGCCGAGTGACTTAAAACAGGTCTTATGCAAAGTAACATCTCTTAATTTCAGAACTATCAAGTGATGCTCAGCATAGTTTTAGCATAAAACAGGATAGTTTCCTTTCATTATTAGTGTTTGTATTGATCTGTCTAATGTATAAGTGCTCAAAGTTTTACAGAACATGTGTAAAGTCTTTTACATCAAATCCTTAATCCAGCAACAATTCAAAAGTAAGCATATATCCTAAGTAAAGCTATCCTGTTATTACGAACTCTTCAAACCTTTATATCTTCAAACGTTAGCAATTGTATTCCTGACACTATTCTTATCAATTGATTTCCAATATATCCTTGATATCAGGAATAAGATGCCTCTATTTTATGATCAATTGATATCTTTTCACCTCAGTGGCAATCCTTTAAATATGATATTAAAAAAAATAAGAACAATATCTTGGCAGAATGACTCGGGATGCAGATTTCATGTCCTCATATACCAATGTGCACATCTATATGACATTATGTTGTGACCCAAGGATAACACATCACAATACGGTTAAACACGGACACGGAAGTGGTAATTGTTAGCACACACCAGCGCATATTTGGCATGTGATTTGAATCCCTCTCTCACACACTATATGGAACTACACAATGCCGAAGCATCAATGAAGACATCAATGTTTCTCTGGTTTTTGTTATTTGAAAAAAAAAATTAAAATAAAACCAGTACAATTACTAGTACATAATGCAGCAACTTTTGTTGCTATTGTAAGCAATAAATATAGCCTCAACAATAACTATGTAATAATAATTATCCAACTTCATCAGACACTCAGTTCAAATGAAGATATTCTGAATAAAGAAGCGAAGTGTCTGTATCATTTTCATTAATCCTGTCCCAATTGCCAGACACAGAGCCTCAGTGGGGTGGGGGCTCACGATCAGTAGCTTGAGATGTTGGTAACTGTTTGTACATATTCTTTTTTGCTGCGGCCGGATTCACACGGCCGTCTCTGTCTCTACCCCCTGACCCTGGCCTTCCAGGAAGGGGATGAAGGTTTCCAGCGCCGATCCCAGCCCCTGCTAGAGCCTGAACTGCATTTGAGCCTGGAAGTGAATTATAAACTTGACTCCCACTTGACATCGATCCATGATTTTGTCGAAGAGAAACACTCTGAAATGCGTGCCCCTGACTTTGTCGAGAAAGATTGACCATTGTGCTTCCTCCGCCGCCTCCTCCTCCTGCATGCTGTTTCTGTGTTGGTTGCAGTTGGTTGCCTCTCTCAGGTAACACAGACTTCGCTATCGCAGCAGAACCTGAGTCCTTGCCCAGGCTATTTGTGTTTTGTTGTTGATGTAAAGGACTAGCGCCTCCTGTGCTAGTATGTTGATCACCTTCGTTTGACGTAGCCGTGGGTAATTTGTTACTCCATTTGACTGAATCATTTGAACTACCACCCGCTATTAATACTTCCAAGTCCTGTTCTAAGTGTAACTGTTCTGTCAATGTGGATAATAACAGTTCCTGCACAAATGCACCACGATCCTCCCGCTCTTCAAATATACTCTGTTCCGACTCTGTCACAGAAGAGTCGAGGCACCTATTAAGGAAGAAAGTATGGTGAACAGTTAAAGCAGTATTGAGTATATATACATCTACCTGGTTAACAGTGTTCTCCAGGCCATTATATCAAAGGAGTAATGCCAGCAACCTGGTCTTATTTCCTAGTGATTAGTTATTTGAATTATTTGTTTTTATTACCAGGTAAATGGTATGCCTTGCATTGAGTTCTTTATTTGTAGAAGATATGTTTGAAGATTGAAAAGTCTGCCAGATCAAGCCTGCTGGTAATTGTATTCATTGCAAGAGACCTAACGCAGCTGTGTTTGTGAGAGAGAAAAAAATTTAAAAAAATTGCTGACCTCCCTGCTATGGCAATATCCTGGAAAGAACACTGATTAATTGTTTTTAAATTTAGGACTATTCCAGTGTTATCCATTTTTAAAGGGTCAAGAAATTATTCAGAAGAAAAAAGCCTTTATGGGGTTAACAGGCCCTAAATATACCACACAAAGAAATACCAGCATTCTGTATACATATCTGACATTTTCAATAACTTTAATTCTATTTAATTCATGTCCCATTTTTATCTTCCAATATTTCTATATACTTCTTCCTGATGAGATATTTGATGTTGAAATTCTTTTTCCATCTGTAAGTTTCTAACTCTGTGGACTCGTAATAAGGTATTGTTGGTCCATCCTAACCCTGGTCAAATATGAATCAAATGCTGACAGGCCCAAAACAAAAAGAAACCCAAGATAATCTTGTGATATCTGTGACTGTGTATTACCTGGCTAATAAGTATGGCGAGTCTGTGTTAACGGTGGTTTGGTTGGTACTGCCTCCTTGACTCTGCAGTTCTGTGCTGATGCCAGTAGTTGAAGAATTGGTAATGTTGGATTTTCCCGATTCCATTGTACGTCTGTTTGGCAAACGCTCCAGTTGTTGTCTGAAATTAGATGAATACCTGAAAAAGGTCAATAATCCAGCATAATGAAAAATATTGTCATTTTATAATCCATACTCGACCCCTCCACCAGCACCCTCTAGTGAGCATTCAAATAAAAATATACAAATTCAAACACATGAGCAAGCTTCATGATGACATCTTAATACGAAATGTGTGACAGCATGATAAATTATTGATGGAATGTTTGATTAATAAATCAATCATTAAATACCACTACTTTTAATAGTGTCTATCAATATTTCTTGGGTGTAGACAACAGAGGGTCTGTTTCATTTGACCAGGTGGTATCAGTGTTATTTCAGGTGGTATCAGTGTTATTTTATTAGTGTACAGATAACTAAGGTCACAGACAGGATTGCAGCGATCCTTCACCAGTATTCTAATCTTAGAACAGCCAATACCTTTTCGGATTGGTCTATTTTTGGATATTAAAAGAAAAGCAGTATTTTAGTTGCAATATCTTTGATAGAATTCATATTCACAACAAATTAAATCTGTTCATTTCTCATTCTTTAATTTGCCAAAACAGCAATGTTTGGGAGGGATATTTTGAGTTTTTGCTGATCAATGACAATCTTATTGATAATTGTGACAGGTGAGCCTATCGCATCACCTTATCAGCATGGGAAGTTGGTAACAACACAATATTTGAGGACCAGCTGCTATCCATACCTAGTTGACTGTAACTGCATCTCCAGCTGTTGTAGTTGTGAGGACACACTCTGGGCTGCAGCTGCACGACTCCTCACACTCGAAAGCTGAGACAAAAGTTCCGCAATTGGGTCCATCGTTTCCCGCCCTCCTGGAGAGAGCCCAGTCAATGAAGTTCCTCCCGAAGAAAAGTGCATATTTGCTCTCCTAGATCGGTTTCCCCCTACACCACGCCCAGGATGAGGGATTCTCCTCACATGTCGGATACCAACAGGTTCATCGTGGAAACAAGTTAAGGACGATATCATAAGGGACATTTTAAATAATATCTGTAACCAGACAGTTAACTATTGGAAAGCACAGATGAAATTATTTTTTGAAGTAATTGTTTATGTTGAACTTTGATTTAGGTATAGGCTACCAAATTTGAACAAAAACAAATTCACATCCCTTCAATGTCATTGAACCAATGTAATAGTCTAAGATAAAAAGAATGTGATATATGTAGTTGGAATTTTTCTTTCAAATTCACAGTTTGGCCAATTTTTCATCTTGATGCCAAGCTTTAATGGCCAAGGATTTTTTTCTTGTTTATATTGGACGCAGCTTTGTTGTCGCATTTTGAAAAGAAAATATACCAATTGGGAAGACAATGTTCAGGAGTATCTGTAAACTGCAAATTTTGGGAAATGGGCATAAATTTCAAACAGTTTCAATTGGGAATGGGTCCCAGTATGGGCCCAAAAAAGTCTCAGAAAAAAACACTGAGGCCTGTTCCACTATCGGTACTTTTCATTCCATTAAAAGAATTTCAGAGAAGTGAAAAATGTTGAATCAAAAACAAAAGCACATCTAAGCTCAAAAAGTGTTCATATCAATTTCTTCATTCAAAATATCTGTAATTTAAAGAAAAGCAACTGTTGTTTGATCTTCCTATTACAGATGTTAATATATAACAGAGGTTGTATCAAATTATCATCCAATTCATACCCCACATTTGACTAGCTAGTTCTTTATACCGCAGGAATCTGAGTACACAAACACTATGATACCTATAAATGACCTGTTCAGTAGTTTTGCATAATGGACATAATTCCAGGTGTAAATTAAGGAGACAACTATCATTTTCAAACCCGCTTTTAAACCCAAAGAGGCTTTGATTTTTATCTCAAATCAGCACACTGTGAACTTTATCAAACCAATTATAAGCTGATTGTGACCCAGATAAAAAAAATCAGCCATAACAGATAAATTAATATTTCTTCATTACTGGAAATGGTAACAAATACTGCAACTTATTGGTGCCATATATGTCTTATGGGCCTGCAGTTTTACCTTCGAAGTTAAGATGATAAAATTAAGCCAAAGGATATAAATTCTCTTGGGATTCTGTGCTGTAAGGTCAAATGTTCTGCAAAGTCATCAGTGACGTAGTTTGGGTCTCCTCCTGGCAGAGCAGCACATATAGGACAAACCTGCTTGGAAAAAAACGATAACAGCACTATAACTATTGCTTGATATTTCAAAGAAATCAGTCATCATTTTTATTTTACGATGAAATATTCTGATATGACAAATGAAGATATGATGATTATTCGATTTGACACCAGATTGTAAACTAATGCAGAATATTTTTCATTTGTCCTGGGATCGATGGAAAAATCAACTCATTGATCAAATGTGTGAAGAAAATCAGATTCAAGTCTATGTCTATCAGTTATTTTTGATATTTTCTAAATCTGGCATTATCGTTGACACATTTAAGACCTGGAAAATTAATTTTACGGAAGTAAATCTAGACAGTTATGCCATTTCCATCATACTAACAACTTCAGTGGAAGCATCCGAATGATCCGAGGTAACATGCTCCTGTAGGGTAGCTTCTGTATATCCCATTTTACCACAGTAGGGGCAAGTAAAAGCCTGTGTTTGCTCTGCTGTCAGAGCCTCTCCTCCATAGAATAAATCTGTGATAACAAACAGAAAATGTCTTATTATAAAAATAGTAAACTTATACACAAAGTACTTGGGTTAATTTTATGTCACTCGTCACTAGTAAAAATATTCTACTTTTATCAGGGAAATATACTTCAGACTAGTTTTTCTTTCTTTTTTTTTTCATAATCCACCTACAGGCTAGTATTCTACAATATAAAATTGTTCACTCCTGTGTGTGAATGAACTCTTCACTACTTTACATGTAATGGTATAAATTTAACATGTATCAGAATTTATGACAATGTTCAAAACATGCACTGAAGTCTATTTTCGTTTAACAGTTTGGTTTCAATAAACAATACTTGTGACAGCTGACAGTCATGTACTCAAATTAACAATAAACAAGAAAATATTATTTATGATAGTCATATCGACAATTATTTTTATATTTGTTTTTCATTTACAAAACAAGTATCACAATGTCTATATTGTTTGAGTTTTGTGTACATTACACAAATAAAATAATTCAGATTAACCTTACTAGTACCAGTCACAGCAAATTTACATTATAAGTATTAAATTCTAACCTACTCCTAACCATGATACCACCAGAAGGCAGAGTATTGTGAGATATATTTACTGCTGCAAATAGTTGTCTGATTACAGCCTCCAGTTATCATACACTCCATGCTGACATTAGTCATGATACTATATTAAGAAATTATGTACTAAAGCCCTGATGTGCCAGCTGATATCTGCAATGTTTTATATGCAGAAACTGAAGTTTACTTTTTTTTCCCATAAAATATACAGTGACATAAAATATAAGCTTTCACACCTTGATATTGACAATGCCTCCTTAGTACAGGATTTGTAATATAATTGAATCTTTTTTATAGAATCATACACAAGAATAAAGTGTGATTAAATGCACTAACCAAAGTCATTCCTTGTAAGAATGCACTGCATGGAGTGGTCAGCAGTGTGTCGTGTCGTAGTGGCCCCTGCTTCATAACAGGTCGCACAGAGGTCATAGTCGTAACAAACCAGGCACTTGTAACGTTTCCCTCGAAAGTTTCCCTTCAGACACGAATCACAGCTGACCCCTGTAAAAAGAAAATTAAAAGTAAGCAAGTCTTTTCAGCATAAACTGAATCTGAAGTGATTATATTGACATATGTATCCTACCAAATCAATTTCAGTAATGTCACAGAATTGGAGAGATTTCATTAGAGATACAATACACACATACATTACACAGAACAAAATCAACTGGTCTACTGATATGTCAGGTTTTAAATAGGCAAACTATTATTCTAAACCTTTAGTGAAAGGAGAAATGTTGGGAATTGGATCAGATATCATAATCGATTATTGGAAGACTTGTCATGAAAGATTAATCTATTATAATCGGAATATAAAAACTTTGGTCAAGATATTGTGTAGTGTATAGAAAAATACGAAACTACAGTATGCGTCTATCTTTACCTAATAACAATAGTACATACTTCCGGCCTTAACATACATGCCAGAACTTTCCAGTGCAAAATAGTGAGATTAGTGCATTTTTTTTAGTGAGATTTGGTCAAAAATAGTGAGATTTTTTCTCTGAATTAGTGAGAAAGTTTCGAGACATCTATAACAAAAAAAATCTGGCATATAAGATAGTATTATCTCATTTGTGTTATTCTGAAGCCTCTTTTCATTTGGAACCAAAATTGGAGATTTACTGATATTTTAGAGGAAGTCAAAATTCAAGAGGGATGTCCTTGTTAACCTAGGTTGGAAGAAAAAAATATCTGGAACATTTGGAATATTTAATCTTCATTTGTTGACAAAAAATATCTACTGCTTCCATTATTTTTATATCCAATTGTGAAGAAATCTGCTGTCTTGTGTTAAATGTTATTTTTATAAACCATGTTTTCGATTGTAGGCTAATTAACTAACAGCTCTTATATATGTAGCTATTTAATGTTAACACCCACTGTCATCACATATTAATAAGCAACTAGCGATCAATGGACAGGGGATTTCTGATTGGACTGCGTAACAGTTCACTCATTGGTGAGCATGACAGCAGGCCATTCAAATCGAAATTGGCCGGCCATTCACAACTTTCACACCTACATTTAGTCTATATATATACTGCTAATTGGCCTGGCCTGTAATTTAAGTGGCTAGCCTGTGATATTAGAGCTCTCAGTGACCTAGGTCAGTGTGAATCCATGTAGCTATTGTTCATTCATTAAGATTTACCAAACTTTGTTTCTTTTCATGAGACGATTGAAAATTAGTGAGAAATGTGCCTACACCCGACGCTTCAAACAACAAGCTGGACAAAGAAAATAAATTTGGATACACTGCAGTTTTATGGAAATTTAGCATATTTACCTGGTAAGCAGTTTTCGATTTTCACCAATATCGATCAACTTTCGACTTCTTTTGATTATCGGAACACCTCTAGCAAACAATTTGATACAGATTCCTTGCTTGTTGATCATAAATGTCAAATGATAAATCCTATTAGCAAAGAATTAAAAAGGCTAAAAATCAATACACCTTGTCATGCTGTACTTTTTTTATCATGAACTGCGCTAATATTGTACAGCAGTAAATCAAGGCATTAGGCTAATATATATTAAAAAAATCTTAATCTTTCCATGATTACAGAAAAATTAAGCACTAGCTATCATCCCGATCAAATAATGATAAGCTAAGGTTTTACTGAGTAGAATGACAAACTTTGAAATTAATTCCATGTGTTATATGATATTATATAACCTTTATTTATTTTATAAGAATTATGAAACAATTTTTTACAACTTATACTTATCACTCTTGTTGGCCCTGATTTTAACGTGCAGGGGGTCTTACTGTAGGAAGATACCAGAGTATTCGGAGAAAACCCACGTGGTCGAGCAGGTGACCCATATACCTTTTCACATCCGATTCCCCAATCGGATGTGAAAAGGTATATCAAACCCTGGCTGCCTTGGTGAAAGCTTAAGGCAAGTACGCTATCCAATGCACTACCCAACCACCCATAAGTGCATCACTTGTTATATGATGATCATATGCCACTTCAAAAATGGATTCTAGATGTCATTTTGGCAAAATATATAAAATGACAGAGGGAAAGTGGAATACAGATGTTATTTTGGCAAAATATATAAAATGACAGAAGACAAAAATAAAATAAAGGGGGAAATTAATTTTTCATGATTCCAGCTGTGCTCTTGATAATATGATAGGTTTCTGGGCGAATTAAAGGCATAATTTATAAAGAACTGGACAGAGTACTTCTAGGCCTACTGTATGTTCATTAAATAAATGGTTATTTTTTTTGTTCACTTCTCATCATATTTTTTTTAATATTAACTGAAGTCTTTTTTAACCTAAGTTATTATCATGTCGAAACAACATACAAGGCAATTGCCTAAACAGGCTGTAAAAGATTAAAATATGATCAGATGTTCAAACGCCATACAACTAGGAAGCTAATATACCCAGCATTTCTGACCTGATCTTTCATCACAATTACAATATTGTTATTGCTGTCTACTGTAGGTTTACCCATATTTTTTATTTCATTTCTTCGATCCCTCGATTGATTCACGCTGTATCATCATATATATTGCATAGTCATGTAAACCAACGTTATGCGTAGTATAGCATTGTGATATGAACAACCACACGCCACACGAGACGTTTTACGGAAGAAACTGATAGTTCGATTGGAGGCCATTTTGGATTGATAACACCTCAAACTTACCTTCATGACGCGACATATCAGCGACTGCGTTCCAATAAGATATTGAAACCTGATTATGAAGCTGGATGTTGTTGAATAATTATTGTTTTGACCAACTAAATGTCCGAAAAATGATATTTGTCGCTACTTCGCTACTACGTTCCAAGGTTACATTCTTGGCAAGTAGGGTCCATGATGACGTCACGCAATTTCTCGACTCACAATTTCAGCTAACGTGAGTTTCATATTAGTGAGTCAATTAAATAGACCGCTCTCTGATTTTCATATTTTTATAATAAATGAAGAAAGAAACAGAAACTTGTATAAAATACATTAAATAATAAAAATTATTTATGGATATTTTAAAAGTGTCCGCAAAACGTTTACAGCTATAAATTTCTCTGGTTCTTGTTCAAGCTTCCAATCGACTGCGGGCCCGTCAATTTTTCTCAAACGTCAAGCATGGCAACTACAGTGAAACGAGTTCTGATCTACGGAGGAAAAGGAGCTCTTGGCTCGGCATGCGTTACATATTTCAAAGGAAAACAATACGTAAGTGATACAGCGTTAGCTTAAATCGACATTGTGTGTGCATATGCACCATGGTGGTACTTGACATTTTGGAGTGCAGTCGGGATCGGAGGTCATGGTCGAGCAGATAGCAAATTATTCACGTGCTGAAATAAATTACTGAAATTAATCAAATATGCATACTTCTTTGGAAATTGTTAAATATCAAATCAGCACACAAAATATGTTTACTGTATTTGTTCACAAGATAGCCATACAAACGTCCTCAAAAATCAGTGCAGTTCTGTGGCCAATTGTTCTGTAGTAGGACGAGAAATAGTGCCGTCGCTGGGCCTCAAACCCTGGACTCTCCAGCCCGATGCTCTACCGCTGAGTTAAAGGGAAATTCCCCACAGCTGACGCTTGTAAGGCAACCTAATTAATGCTCATTTTTTACACTATTCCCCCCTTTTTCAAACACCAACCCAGGTTCTTTGACTCCCCGCCAAGGGTTCTCCTACCTTGAATGGGGAGGGTCAACGGCACCAATTTGTAGTAGGACGAGGAATAGTGATTAAGATAGTGTCGTCGTTAGGGCTCGAACCTGAGACCCTTGGCTCTCTAGCCCGATGCTCTACCGCTGAGCTAAAGGGAAATTCCCCACAGCTGACGCTTGTAACGCAACCTAATTAATCCACATCTTTTACAGTTCCTTGAAAAAGTTAGATAAGTTCCAAATATGTCCATACAAAGGATATCTGCGAGAATTCAATGTTCTGCTTTTTATTTCGGCAATGCCTTTATATAAAATGATAGCATACAAAATAATAATAATCTAATAACAAATGTTTGTTTTCTGGAAGATGCATTTTTTTAAATTTTTTTTTTATTAAAGAGCAGATAATGTTCTTCCATTCCATAATGGCATTTTATCCCTTTTACAAATTACAAAGATCTTATATTTTTGTAAACAGGGAGTATCTAAGTCTTTCAAGACAATCTCAGAAAGTTGTCAATTTTGATGAACTGCAATCTCAAGATTCTTTTGATGTTCACATCAAAAGATCAGTCAACTTGTCTCATACACAAGGTGGCGCACGCTGCACCTTCCATTTTGTCATTACATATTCCAGGCCAGCGGTATAGAGTGTGTAACTGAGCATAAACCCTGGAGTACTGAGGATGTGGTTTTACCATTTTGATTAATAGTGTAGTTAAATATTATAGCGTATTTGAAATAACTGTTAGTTGGACAACAGTGTTCTGTTCAAACATATCTACTGGTGTAGCGTTTGCATTACGTCGAGCAACTTTGCCATTCCCATGTCGTCGATTGCCACTAATATAAGACATTTTGAACGGTTTGCTGTTCTAAAAACTGCATAACTTCGATGACTTGAACTTCTAAAACTTCTAACCACGAAAGTACACGGATACAATAATAATAATAATAATATACAGCATTTATATAGCGCCCTATATAATTTGTAAAATTACTCTAAGGCGCTTTACAACATATGGATAATAGAAATGGTTATAATTGTGAAAACAAACAACAAAGGCTTGCAATCACTTTCATACATTTAATAAGCAATGTGCACATAATTGACGAATAAAAGGGTGGTATTTACATGATGTCTTTGCCTCTTGAACTTGGCCAGGGTATTCGACTTCCTTTTAGCAGATGGTAAGCTATTCCACAACGTAGCCGAAACCCTCCCAAAGCATCTGTTTCCGTAGGTCACAGTACGAGATTTTGGGACACACAACAAAGATTCTGACTCCGACCGCAGTGATCTTGACGGCTGATACAGGGTAACAAGTTCCTGTAGGTACCGAGGAGCTGTTCCATTCAGTGCCTTGTGTGTGTATACCAGAATTTTGTACTGCGACCTGTATCGTACAGGTAACCAGTGCAACGAATAAAGCGAAGGTGTGATGTGCTCTCTCTTTCTGGTACGAGTAACTAGCCGTGCCGCAGTGTTCTGAACCCTCTGCAGACGACTAGTTAGTTTGTCAGATATACCACAGAGCAGGGCGCTACCATAATCCAACCGAGAGGTAACAAGTGCATGCACCAAAATCTTGCATGCATCTGCAGTTAGAAACTGCCGAATACAGCCGATGTTCCTGATCTGGTAGTAACAGGATTTGGCAATAGCGTTCACTTGTTTCTCCATGTTCAGAGAACTGTCAAAGTATACCCCTAGGTTTTTAACAGCTGGAACAGTCTCAATAGTTCTGGCACCAACCTTGAGCTGGAGAGCCATTGGTTGCTGACACTTTGGGGAAAAGACGATTAGTTCCGTCTTTTCCTGATTAAGTTTAAGCATGTTGGCGTTCATCCAGCTATGATATCTGTCAGACAAGCTTCCAGACTTTCTGTGACTGTATTCCAACTGTCCTTTGGTTTAATGACCATGTAAATTTGTGTGTCATCAGCATAGCAATGATAGCGAAGGCTGTGGCGACGTCAAATCTCTCCAATCGGTTTGGAGTACATACAATATTTTTGGGGTCCTAACACCGAACCTTGAGGAACCCCGAAATCTAGTACTTTGTCATGTGAGGTGGCAGATCCGATGGCAACACACTGTCGTCGTTCACTCAGGTATGACTGTATCCAGCATAGTGCGGTATCAGTCACTCCATAAGAGTATTCCAGACATTTATAAAGTATGCCATGGTCGATGACGTCAAATGCAGCTGACAAGTCCAGCATGACAAGCACCGCTCTGCACTTGTTATCTAATGCAGAAGCTATATCACTATGTACACGCAGGAGGGCCGTCTCAGTAGAGTGTCCCATGCGGTAGGCCGATTGCATGTTGTCATGGAGACTGTTTGCATGGAAATGAACCTCTAAACGCCGGGACACAACCTTCTCCAAGATCTTAGACAGAAAAGGCAGATTTGAAACTGGGCGGTAGTTTTTCAACTCGTCCTTGTCCATTCCAGGCTTTTTTAACAATGGTCTGACATGTGCCTTCTTGAAACATAATGGAACCTTTGACTCAACCAATGATTTATTCATGATTGCGGTAATCAAAGGAAGCAGTGCTTCAAGACATTGCTTTAATAGGTCTGTAGGCAGTGGATCAAGCTCCCAGGACTTTGATTGCGAGGTCATGATAATGTTGCGCAACTCGTCCTGGGTTGTTGGTGAGAGCTTTGTCAATGGTTCCCCATCAAATGCAATGTCAGCAGTCATGACAGAGATGTCAATGTCAGCAGAGGTGTTCACTTCGGTAATATTTTTCCTGATTGAGCTGATTTTATTCAGAAAGTAATCACTGAACTTGCTTGTTAAGTCTATTTCAGAATTACAGCTTGGTAGGATAATTTCACCTTTCTGTCCCATTGTCTTGCTTAAAGTGATCTGAAATGCTGAAAATCAGCACTTCGACATGGTGTTTCAAGGCAATACTTATACTTTCTAATCAAGCATATCGAGACGTATTTATGTTTGGTACGGAAAAGTTAAATGAAGACCATGTACATTGTACACTAATTTAAATATTATTAACCCATAAATTTGTTGGATGCAGTGTTTGAACAAGGTGATCAGAACGGCTTACAGCGCCGCCTAATGTACATGTGCGAGACTCCACCAATGTGTGACTTGCTTATTAGTCTGTTTTCTCAACGTCAGTGGTTCATCCAATTAACTTGACCCCACTGTCATAACTGTTCACAAATTATAACACCTATTGCCATCTGAAGCTTGCTAATTGACTTTACAACTTAGACAACAGCGTGCGCTGATCTGTGACGGCCCTGATTATGTTTACGCAATCAATGTCGGCCACAATACACACGAGAGTAGACAGATCATTTTCCGGGACATAGATACAGATTTTCACTAATTTTCAAAAGTTTATTTTATAATAGTAGTCAATTTTAGTAGCCACACAATATTTTTTGTAGCCAATAAAAAATAAAAGTAGCCAATGGCTACTCTGGCTACCGACAGCGCGAGCCCTGTATATGTTTTCTTTAACTCATTCAACCCTGAAGACACATTTGAACTCATCCAATTCAAAGGGTGGAATACTTCATTATGAAACTTCAGGGGTGAATGAGTTAAAGTTCAACAGTTATAATGCATAATACTGTATATGTATATTTTCTTAACATAATTTAAACAAACATTCTACAATTATATAAGCTTGAAATTGGCAATAAATTGAAATATGCTGCACACATACATGCATGTCGGACAAAACATTTATCTTTTACCTTCTTGACGCTAGAGTCTGCCCTTGTATCAAATCTGAAAAAAGATAGATTCCCCTAAGATCTAGATTGATCCCTGGCTTAAGCCATGTCGTCATATTCTGTAATTGGTTACATGAATTTTGTAGAATAACAAAATATTTCTTAAATGAAGAAAAAGTTGAATCCATCAAATCAAAATTAAAAATCCAAATGTGTTTTGAGTAAAAAAATTGATGAAGATGGTTGAAAATCCACTTTGAATTATCACCTTCGCAAAATCAGGTTGAAAACATGGAAGTAATTGAACACCTGTTAAATCTATAAACAATAAACAATATGGACAACAAATCATAATGAAATTACAAAAGGTTAGCAGACTATAGTAGTACATGATAAAGTACTTTATGAGAATATAGTTAAAGGGGCATCACGGTGAAGTAACTTTATTTTTTGTCTTTTTTTTCAAATACAACATCAACATATCAAGTGAGACTCCTTATGGAAAATAACGATCGAATTTGGCTGAAATAGATTCATAAAAATGATTAAATCTAAGAAAATCATCGGTATTTCTACCCATCTGACCAACGTTTTGTTCAGGGATTTCCCTCTACTAGCGCATGCGCATAGCACACCATTTCTTTGTAAACAAAATGACTGGCCGTGTGAAGTAAGCGAAAGAAAAGTGTTGTACCGTGTCAGCTACGAAACGAAAAGTTGCCAAATGGTCAAAAGATAGCGCAAGGAGTACGTTACGGAATCATTATTGCAGGTGGGCAGTATTCAAAGGAGAAAATAACTGCCGTAGCAGTTAGTACGGTGCATGTATTCTTCCGGATAGCCGGTTAAGCTGAAATGGAATCGACAGAAATGCTAGCGCTGTTTATGTTATGAATAAATATCTAAAACTATTAAGCTCGCTAGTATCTTTGTCTGAGTTTGAACACAGATGAACTTAGTTTAATATGTTAATGGACATGTATTGGAGAGAGTTTACTTTGTGTTTCTATAATTATACAGTGGTTTATGCGAAAGGAAGGGATAAGTGACTGGTTAGTTTGATTTTGCCATGAGGCCCTCCAAGGGATAACTGTTGTGATGGCCCACAGCATATTTTCTGGGTCACCGAGATACGTGTTATCAAAGTCCGTGGATTTACATAATTTATATTACCGGATTCAGTAAAATGGTATGATTTAATTCTATTGCTGAATTAAACGATTATTTTTGTTTTTACATGAAAGATTTAAATTAGTACTAATATGAATACCCGGCCTCCTCTGCCCCGGCAATATATAAAAAAAAAATCAGAAAGGTTTGTCCCTTGGTGTAGGGAAGGTGTTTAGCCCCGTACCATCTGTACCCGTCACATTTCGGTACTAAATTCAATATATATTTTTAAATATCTACTTAATGTTTATGCCTATTATCATTGTTGACATTTAATTGTAAATGTATGACGGGAGAAGGCTGTGATAAATTGTAAAAACCTGTGTCCCATCCCTTGTTCAATTTTATTGGCAACAAATATGTTTAAAGCTAAATAAATTTAAATTCTGAATATTGGCAAGTGTGCAATTAACTTCTGATGATGAATGATTACTGTTTAATAAGTTTGAATATGGACTTAGAAAGAAATCATATTACTTGGTTTCATAGCGCGGTAAGAAGTTGCAGTTGCCTAACGGCCCCTCTCTGGGGGCCCCTCTGGAAACCTTTTCATCTCGCTCAGACCACTTGTGTTTACTGCCTAGTCAGGTGACGTTATCGACGCTATTTTTAGCAGGGCTTTCCCGAACAATTCAAGTGGTCAAACTGGACATTTGGAACGGACTGAATATGGGAATAGCGACGTAACATAAGTGGAAGTGCATACAATACATACATTCATTAAAAAAAATATGGCTCTTCACGTGATGTCCCTTTAAACTTATAATTATCTGATGACTGGCCAACACTTTTGTAAACACAATGAGTGCAGAGCCAACAAGCATTTTAATGACATGCTCATGATAGTAGGTGTACATGTTATACAGGTATGAGTGTAGCTGTTCAACTAGGGAATAGGATAAATACTGTGGACTTGATCAGTTGGCCAGGCATGAGGACTTTTTTTTACAGTTTGGATGCTAACCACTAACGTTCTTTTGCTTTGGTACCCTTTTTCTTTGGGCTTTAATGTTGTGCATAATATAAATTTATGTAAGTTTTGTTGAGGTAATTGGTCATGACTGCTATGTTAGTTATGTTCTTACATTAAAGGATCAAGATCTACATTAAGATCTCTCCACTTCATCAAGATAGTTGGAAAAGCTGTACACTTTATTGAACATCTGACAATAGCCTAATGTTGGAGATGTGCACAACAGTTACTTATGAGCACTGAAGGAAAACAAGTCCCAGAAGATTCCCAGTTTTGAAAGCTATAAATTCTTCAACTTGGAGCTAGGTTTATGATGGAGGGAAGTTCATTTTGTGACATAGCAGACAATTGTCAGCAAGTACATCTACATTTTCTCACTGTGTACATTATTCTTATCTTGGAATTGTCCAAGGTCATATACATTTATAATTTTCTGGTAGATTTTAATTTTAATTTTTAATTTTTTGTTATTTTGTAGTGGGTGGGATCCATAGATCTTGCACCAAATGAAATGGCTGATGCCAATATCCTCGTGAAGCCTGATGCCTCGTGGACAGACCAGGAGACACATGTATTGGGAGAGATAGAGACATTGATGAGTGGTAACAAGCTTGATGCAGTATTCTGTGTTGCTGGGGGCTGGGCAGGTGGCAGTGCTGCTGCAAAAGGTGAGGACATAATTGGACCAGACATGTGATTATGTGGCTGTACATTTGTAAGTAAGGTTCTACCCATGGGGGTACCTCTGCATATTCCGTCTTTGCGTAGTGCAGAGTTATCTTCTCTTGGGAGCAGGTATTGATTGTTAGGTCACTTGTTTGTGAGAGTAACGTCATCGACTTTTGAGAAAACAACGTAATTTTCTCACACAGCCCAATGACGTAACAATCAATACTTGCTCCCAAGAGAAGATAACTCTGCAATACGCAAAGACGGAATATATGATAAATACTCACAGCCCGGAGGCCATACAGTTAAGGTGTCTCACCGTCTTGTCGTCTACGATCACTAGCCCTTCACCACTTGTCTGCAGGTTGAAAATTAAACCTATGTAGGGAATTCACCAGGTACTGGCCACATGTTTGTGTTTTTTCTCCGGGTTTACTCGGGCTTTCCTCCACCACCAAGACCTGGTAGTGCATCTTAAAATTACTATAGATGTTAATAGGATGTAAAGCACAAACAAACCAAACCAGATTCCCAGCCCATTAAGCTATATGTGATCTGTGACATATGCCCTGCATCATAGAATGACCTCGCACTGTATGATGATGTAAGAATAACTTTTTTTACAAGATAGAGATGTCATATCAGGTGTTCAGCTAGTAAATGTGTTAATATCTTATTAGAAATTTGATATCAAGAGATTTACAAGCATGACTGGTCTTTTATAAGTAATTATGTTCCTAAATACATGTACAGCCTCCAGGTTAGCAATACCATTGTCTATGATGACTTACAATATTGACGTTTCAGCCTTTATCAAGAATGCTGACATGATGTGGAAACAAAGTGTATGGACCTCCTCTATATCAGCAGCCATATCTGCCAAGCATTTGAAGGAGGGTGGTGTCCTGACCCTGCCAGGGGCCATGCCTGCACTGGAGGGTACTCCAGGTAGGTTTTATAGTACCATCAAAAGGCTGTGTGAATTACCTCCCTTATGACATAGATCTTGATAGTAAGATTTGAACTATTCCAACCTTTGAATTGGAAGAGTTCAAATATGTCTTCAGGGCTAAATGAGTTAAGGAGGCTCCTCCCTTTCGCAATTAATCAGCAGAATTCATTGAAACTTTCACATCATGGTTATGCAACTATGTAGAGGTGATTTTGTGGAAATCTAATTGCATTCCAATGGACTACTCGAGTTTTCAACATATTTTCCAATTTTTTGGTGTGTGGCATTGTTCGGAACAATAATAACAATAAAAAAATGGAAAGAAGCATTGCTAATTAACCCTACAAATATTATTTTTTATCACGAAATAAAACGGAAGTTTTTGCAAAGGGATAAAATTTACACAATGGCAGTTATCTCTTAAAAATATCAGTAATGATTGAAATAAATCAAAATTATGATATCAAAAGTGACAATTTATTGTGCATGGTAAAATTTGTGACTGTTACTATATTTACAGGAATGATTGGCTATGGTATGGCCAAAGCTGCCATTCACCAGCTAGTCAAAAGTCTGGCCTGTGATAAGAGTGGAATGCCGGCCAATGCCTTGACTGTAGCCATCCTGCCGTAAGTATAGACTTTTTCTTACCCTGCCATCATATAGGACAAAGGCAGTCTGTATAAGATACATACACTACGTAATATGAATTTAAAAACAATGTTATAAAGTTAAACTTCCTTGATACAAGTCCTTACATTCTATGCATGTACTGTTATAGCAACAAGCCTGAATTAACATTTGCAAATAAGGATTGTTGATTGTGTTGAACTTTACGAGCTATTCCAGATTTCACAAAAAAACTCTAACCCATCCATCCCTTTATATTTAGGTATTTTGCTTCCCTTTTGTTCTCTTGGAGTAAACCTGGAGTTCCAATCATGCATGATTTTTATGAAAATAAGTTAATTGGTTTTTATAAAAATTGGATGGGATGGGAACAATTTTGAAACTTTTTTGTATCACATGCTATGGCAATCATGTATTAGTACAATTTGCATATATTTTACAAATTTGAGTGGAAAAATCAAGGTAAATACCATCAGTTTTGTCTTTCCTGTCGATTGATGACATCATGATACTGTGTTCTCACTAAGTTCTGAAACAAGTGGTTGAACTTGGAAGAGTAGCCGATAGAATATTCACTATAATGTTGACCTATACATATTCTGAAAAGATAACGGAATCCAAGGTGATGAACAGCAGGCTACTTTTGCCAGCAACCAGCTTTTAATTAGAACACTTCATCATGTTTTTCTCCTCACCTCATAATGAGCGATATATATATTACCCGTTTCATACATGGTGAATATTTCTGTTAGAATCTTGTACGTTCCTGAGCATATGATGAAGACGGAGGGCTTTCAAAGTACAGTACTTGTTTCTATTGGATGCTCCAGGTATAGTACTTGCTTCAGTCGATATATTTGTTGTTTCAGAATGACTCTGGACACTCCCATGAACCGTAAGTTCATGTCGGAGGCAGACTTTACCACTTGGACCCCACTGGAGTTTGTTGCAGAGTAAGTCCTTGTTTTAAACGGTTTAATGAATATTCTTGTCGTAAATAATTACAAGGTATATAGTCATTGTCAAGATTTCCTGAACTGATAATTGACAAAATAATTTATCTTTTTATGAACATGTATCTACAAAATTATTATGACAACTCCCTGACCAAGTGTTGTTATTTGTCGGGTCGATCAGAATTCAAATATGGCCGCAACTTTGAAAAACTATTTTAAACTTAAAAGTCAAATTCTGCTACGCCGATTTAACTGAAACTTGGTGGGAATTTTCGACTGATGGTCCTGACAAAGTGTTGTTATTTTTCGGGTCAATCAGAAATCAAATGTGGCGGCTGCCATTTTGAAAAAAAAACTTATCACAAACTTAAAGTCAAGTTCTACTGGGGCGATTTAACTGAATCTTTGTAGGAATGAACGACTCATGGTCCTGACAAAGTGTTGTTATTTTTGGGGTCAATCAGAAATCCAATATGGCCGCCACAGCCCGCCATTTTGAAAAATATATGAAACTTAAAGTCAAGTTCTACTGGGCCTATTTAATTGAAACTTCGTAGGAATGATCGACTCGTGGTCCTGACAAAGTGTTGTTATTTTTCAGGTCGATTAGAAATCCAATATGGTAAATAACTATTTCAAACTTAAAGTCAAGTTCTACTCTGTCGATTTAACTGAAACTTGGTAGGAACGATCGACTCATGGTCCTGGCAAAGTGTATTTTTTCAGGTCGATCAAAAATCCAATATGGCCACCACGGCTGCCATTTTGGAATAAAACGATTTAAAACTTAATATAGGCCGATTTAACTGAAACTGGGTCTAGGAATGATCAACTCATGGTCCTGACAAAGTGTTGTTATTTTTCAGGTCGATTAGAAATCCAATATGGTAAATAACTATTTCAAACTTAAAGTAAAGTTCTACTTGGCCGATTGAACTGAAACTTTGTAGGAATGATCGAATCATGGTCCTGACAAAGTGTTGTTATTTTTCAGGTCGATTAGAAATCCAATATGGTAAATAACTATTTCAAACTTAAAGTCAAGTTCTGCTTGGCCGATTGAACTGAAACTTTGTAGGAATGATCGAATCATGGTCCTGACAAAGTGTTGTTATTTTTGGTGTCAATCAGAAATCCAATAGGGCCGCCACAGCCCGCCATTTTGAAAAATATATGAAACTTAAAGTCAAGTTCTACTGGGCCTATTTAATTGAAACTTCGTAGGAATGATCGACTCGTGGTCCTGACAAAGTGTTGTTATTTTTGGTGTCAATCAGAAATCCAATAGGGCCGCCACAGCCCGCCATTTTGAAAAATATATGAAACTTAAAGTCAAGTTCTGCTAGGCCGATTGAACTGAAACTTTGTAGGAATGATTGACTCATGGTCCTGACAAAGTGTTGTTATTTTTCGGGTCAACCAGAAATCAAATGTGGCGGCTGCCATTTTGAAAAAAAAACTTATCACAAACTTAAAGTCAAGTTCTACTGGGCCTATTTAATTGAAACTTCGTAGGAATGATCGACTCGTGGTCCTGACAAAGTGTTGTTATTTTTGGTGTCAATCAGAAATCCAATAGGGCCGCCACAGCCCGCCATTTTGAAAAATATATGAAACTTAAAGTCAAGTTCTACTGGGCCTATTTAATTGAAACTTCGTAGGAATGATCGACTCGTGGTCCTGACAAAGTGTTGTTATTTTTCGCGTCGATCAGATATCCAATATGGCAACCACGGCTGCCATTTTGAAAAAAAAACTTATCACAAACTTAAAGTCAAGTTCTACTGGGCCTATTTAATTGAAACTTCGTAGGAATGATCGACTCGTGGTCCTGACAAAGTGTTGTTATTTTTCGGGCCAATCAGAAATCAGCTCATGGTCCTGACAAAGTGTTGTTATTTTTCGCGTCGATCAGATATCCAATATGGCAACCACGGCTGCCATTTTGAAAAAAAAACTTATCACAAACTTAAAGTCAAGTTCTGCTGGACTGATTGAACTGAAAGTTGGTAGGAATGATCAGCTCATGGTCCTGACAAAGTTAAGATAACATTATACTATTTTTTACTCAAATTGGTACATATTTCAACTACAAAAATAAATACTGTAGACTCAGGTGACCGTTTAGGCCCATGGGCCTCTTGTTTACTCTTATTTTGGTAGGGATTATTGACAGCATTATCTCCACTTCACATTTCAACAACAAAAAATAATACTTTAGGACTCGGGTGACCGTTAAGGCCCATGGGCCTCTTGTTTACTTTCACCTGAGTAAAGATAATCAGACAGGTCATTTATGTTTTTTGTTGATTTATTTTTGTCAGGCTTTTTAACAAATGGATGGATGGAACTGATAGACCAGCCAATGGGAGTTTGATGAAGCTTGTCACTAAAGACAGCATCACAGATGTGACTGCAGCATGTTAGGGGTACCCCTGTATCCAAGTGTGATCAAGTAGTAACAACATTCATGTATAGTCATCTAGACCAAACAGGTTGTGTGTAATCAAGTGCCCTGGTGTGTGTATCATATCTTATACAGAATAGCATTCATATAGTGCTGCATGTAAATAATGCTACTGCTGAAAATTGGAAGTTAAACTTTATATATACAAAAAGGTGAAATAATTTCTTGAGAATATAAGACAAATTTTGTAATCTTTTTGTAGAGTATGACGATATTTCAGAACCACTTAATTTTATCGATTGTAATTGTTGCTGTACAATGAATATAACTGCTCAACATGGTTGTGTCAAATAATGGTTGAGAACTACCTATAAGATCATGTTGATGAATTGTCCAATATCAAGTGCTGATTTTTCCGGTATTAACTGTTAAATTATTTAGTCTGTGAATGCTGAGTTGTCCTATATCATGTATTTTGGAAATTGTAGAACCCAAAGTACTAAAAGTGTCAATGTAGATTATTTCTGTGTATACATGTTGTGGTGAATGAAGGTATAGCTAGCCTTATACCAATTGTTCTTTAGATGATAGACCAAGTAGTGATCTTTGTGCTGTATACATTTTCCACTGATGTTGAACTGTGAATAGTTTAAAAGAGTCAAAAAGCACTTCCACTTTAAAATTATAGTGATGTACTATTCATACCTTTTTTCATGACACAAAATGATTCTGGTTTGAAAAAAAGGTGTGTTAGATTTGCATTTGAGTGTGGTGTTGAGTTTTGTGGTAGAAAGCCCTGAAGCTGATGTGACTTAAGTGTATATGTGTTGAGGTGTAACTTTGTATGTACAATAGTATTATTGATAGAAGCTGTACCTAAGATTCCTCATTTCCTTGTAACATCCTCATTCCACCCTTCCAATGATAATTTTACCTACATAACTCATAGCTACTGCTAGACATTCAAAATAGCTCACTGCCTGCAAATTGTCAATCACAAAGTATTATGAAGTGTTCTTTTCTTCTTCTTTTTTAAACAAAAACTGTGTTAACTTACTTTTAATACTAAGAGTTGAGTATCTTGTCATTTCAATCTGCTGTATACGTCGGTGTTTGAAAAAACCCAGTGATTATCTTTTCTTTTTTTTAAAAATATTACATAGTTTACTTAATATTTTGTTCATTACTTTTTAGCCTTTGTTTGGTTCTTCTATCATACAGGATACATGTTGAATTACACCTAAATTGGCCTTAGTCTCCAATCGGTACTGTTGGAGGGAGCTAAAAGATCGCACTCCCTACTTTCTTCTGTATTCTGTCTTCCGTCCTATCCTGAAAACTTGTCCAGAGCATTTATCTACTTACGGAGAAGCAGAATTTGGTATTCAGAAACCGGTATATCTCAAGATGGCAGAGACCGAGAGTGTCGTACCAAAATTAGGTCACTGTGACCTATACTTTGACACCTGTCATTAAAACAAGTTTGTTCCTGAATATCTCCTATACTACATCAGCTGGAGATACCAAATTTGTATGCTGGTACATTTTGTCATCGGCTGATATGGGAACAGACACAAACAATAGCATTTCTCTCTGGTAGATTGTTCACATTAACCTGTGGAGAAATGTCTCTGGATACTTTGCCTATTTGAAGTGTGGAAAGCTGGACAACTGAGCTTTAAGGGTTTAGACTTTTCCCTGTGTTATAAAAACTGTTACATGTACCCTACTAACCTCAATGTGAATGGCAGCTGAAATCAATGTTTTAGGATAGTCTACATATATCTTAATGGTAATGCATGTAATATATCCAATTTATGGTAATCCAACTTATGCACAGTCCCTCCCCTTCCAGCATATGCAATAAGATCTATAAAACCCTGGACCACAAAGTTTATTTTTGAACTGAAAATTAAATTAAGTGGCAATTGTTTTCCCTTTACAGTAATTATCAGGAGGTAGAAACTGTGGTGACGTCACTTTTGTTATTCAGATATATTTCTTGTATGTTTGGGCAAGTTCTTAAAATTTTATACCCGCTTCAAAGTGTTGTCAGGACCATCATACGCTCTCAAGTTCCTTTTCCAAGCAATCATAATATTGAGTTTGATTATTACACGTAGCAAAAATATTTACACAGGTGAAGGGATATTGTTGTTCTCCTGTTAATAACTTAACCAGATTTATTTCTTTGTAACTCTTGTTTCTCTTCTACAGGTTCTATTGTTATATTAAACATCTTCCCTAACAATTAATTTGTAGATCAAAATCACTGTCCAATGTGCCATGTGGATAATGTATAATGTTGTTTGTTGTAGAGGATACATGTCCCATTTCGAAAACCCAGATTACCATTTTAAATCTGTTTTGTTTCTAGTCTGTAGTATTATATTGTTTTAAAAATCTTTTACATTAAATATGAAAATTATACATTTAAGAAGTATTGAAAATCATGGACTTTTGTGCAAAAGGACTAAAAAATGTTTTTTAATGGTTTTATTTTGTATAAAAAACATGTTTTGCCAAACTTGTTGACTTTAAGACTTAATTTTACAAGTATACATACTAGTGATAGGTGTTATGTCCATATGTAAAACATTCATATTGTTTTTGTTTTCAAAAAATAAGTGGAAAAATATTGAGATTAGAGAAAGATAATATCTTTATGATAAGTTTTTTATGTTACTCTGAATTGTAATGTGAAATATAATAATCCTAGATACAACAGTTAGAAGAATTTCAGTTTTTGTTACAAAGAACAATCTGGATGTTTTGTCTTGAGAATTATATAGTTGTGTAATTTAATCTATACATTCCAAATAAAATTGTTGTCAGAATTCATGTATTGTCTGTTGTTTATGTGTTGCCTTTTAGCGGAGTGTTTAATCATTGGCATCATCCTGCCTGTCTGTCCATCCGTCTGCATGTCGATATTTGGCTTGTTTACAGCTTCCTTACTGAAATATTCAACCTTTCTCAATATTTTGCCCAAATTTTCCTGTTATCAATCTCTGTAGCCCACTTGAACTGCAAGGCGGCCATGGTACATAACCAGTTCACGTTGGGAAAGTTAACATTTGCCTTGTCTCTGGTTCCAAACCTGACCATTTGCCTTGTCTGTAGGTTCCTGACCTGAACATTTGACTTGTCTGCAGGTTCCTGACCTGAGCATTTGCCTTGTCTCTGGTTCCAAACCTGAACATTTGACTTGTCTGCAGGTTCCTGACCTGAACATTTGACTTGTCTGCAGGTTCCTGACCTGAGCATTTGCCTTGTCTGCAGGTTCCTGACCAAAGTTTTCTACCAACTTTCATGAAACTTCATACAAATGTTCAGGACATAATCTTTTGAAACCAGTTGATTTCCAAGTTCATATGTTGAAGGTCAAGGTCACAGCTACAAAATCTTTACATTATGAGCGAGTTAAATTTGATATCTGGCTTTCCATATAGGTTCCTTTCATGGAACTTGTGGAACCTGACAATAAACTCTGGAGACCAGGTCAAGGTGAAGGTTATTGCTACATGATAGTGGGAAAATGAGCTGGTCCAAGATTAATTTGGACTAAGGTTTTCAACTAAAAATTGTCATGAAACTTAACCTTTTTTCAGACATCAATCATTTGAGCCAAGTTGGAAGTCGAGGTTTAATTCGAGTCACAAGTACAGAATGTTTAAGTGATCAAGAAGGGGAAAATTGTAAATAAGTTCTGGTTTGTCTGCATATATATATTCTTGACTAAGTTTAGCAAATTTCTTGAAACTTCACACAAATATTCCTGACAGCAATGTTTTGAGATGCTATGAAGGTCAAGGTCACGGCTAAAGAAATGAAATTGGGAAATTTTCAACAAAATTTCAAAAGCATGCACTCTATATTGCTTGACATCATAGCCTTCCATATAAAAGGGATATCACGGTAGAGTGTATTTTTTTTTTTTTCAAATACTACATAAACATATCAATTTTATTTTTCAAATACTACATAAACATATCAAGTGAGTCTCCTTATGGAAAATAATGATAGGATTTGGCTGATATATATTCATAAAAATGAATATTTTTTTGATAATAATTAGGATTTCTACCTGTCGGACCAACATTTTGTTCAGGGATTTCCCTCTAGCGCATGTGCATAACACACCATTTTCTTTAATGTAAACAAAATGACTGGTCGTGTGAAGTTAGCGAAAGAAAATTGTTGTACCGCATCGGCTACGAAGCGAAAAGTTGCCAATTTTATTATTGGTTTAAAGATAGTGCAAGGAGTATGTTACGGAATCATTATTGCAGGTGGGAACACATACATTCATTAATAAAACAAATATGGCTCTTCATGTGATGTTCCTTTAATCTGACTCCCAGAATGATAACAACAGGCGTACCAGTATACATATTTAGATAATGTCCTGTTTGCTGTACTGAGCCAAAATTTCATTTTTGTCCTAAAAATTGAGGAACTCCAATATGAGTTTCTGTTTTACAAACAGAAATAGAAAACTGCATTCTGCATACTAAAATTTCAATTGGTTAACAGCTAGTTGAGTGATAGAGGCCTATCAGGACTATTGTTAGAGATTTATGAATGTGTGTTTATGCAAGGACCTTTTGTGGACAGCTATCTATTCTTAAGATAAAGAGTTCAAAGATTTTGGTGAGTATTGCATGTTGCTATTTTTTAATTATAATTTAAGAATAATATTGCCTTTGAGAAATCTCAGTATTAATTGGAAACAATTTCACTACTGTAGAATATATAGATACACAATATAATATTTATTAAATATATATATATTTATGCAGATTATGATTGCATCTATGATGCAATTCAGCTGTTTGTTGAGAAATCGAAAGTACAAAATTCTATATTTAGAATTTGACTATGTGACAAAACATCCGGGTAACTGTCATGGCCGCGGCCATCAGAATGATTGTGAAATCTATAGGTGACGTTTCAACTCCTTTCGTAACCTTTGTTTAGTCGATGTCACCAGTAAATACTGATTTATTTCAACTAGTGGTAGTTTATGGTACACAGTCGTAAAATTGTAGAGGACAAGGCCGCATAGAAGATGGACAGACGACATATTTCGAAGTTGATAGCTACTGCTGTTATAGGGGGTACGTATATATATATACGTACGAGGGTACTGGAAAGGGTACTATTCGTGCGACCTTTTCTGTAGTACTTGGCTAATCATCTCATTTTGTGTTTATACGACGTAAAATATAGAATATATAATTCAAGGAATTTAATTGAAGTAATATTTCTTGATTTCATCTGGACACATGTCGGTGTAGGGACTAATTTTCCTCAAAATAGATAATTGGTAATTGTGTGTCAAGAACCAAGAAATAAATTATAACTCAACCACTGACACGTGTGTTTTAATGTTATTTAATTATAGCAACTAGCTTCATAAGGTTTATAAAGGAGAGTGATGTTGACTTAAACCTGATTTTATTTTATTGGATATCCTCGTTCCAACTAAAGTTCAAACTCTAACATTTTTAAAGTACCTTCCTGAGCCCCAAATTTCCCAGTCTGCCTCTCTGCTGATTAGCTCTTACACAAAACTAGGAGGCAACCACAATTCTCTGTACATTTAACTTGCCACAAATATAAAATTCTGGTTGTATTGATGTTTTAAGAACATTATTATGTCGGTAATTCCATAGATGTCAAATCTCCCTCATTAGGAGGGAGACTCCGACATTTTGACCACAATTTACCAATCTCCCTCGAAGCTCCCTTGTTTAAGTCCAAACTTACACAAACTCAAAATCTACATCCTGTGGTCAAATGTTCTCCGAGTGTAACTGCAGGGTGTGTGTAATGATCTTAACAGGTGTGTCTGAATGAAATGAATGTTGTTTGGAGTTATTTTGATACATCAAATGGGAAAGATAAATTGAGAAAAGCGGTTTCAGTCGCATTTCACACACTTTCTCCCTCATTGGAAATGTGGATTGAGGAAGATCTCCCTTATTGGAGGTTTCAGAGATTCTGGTTGACACCTATGGACTATTCATCTTTCAGTTCAGGTTGAGCCATATATAGTATACTGTGACCTGATCAAACTGTAGATAATCAATGTATTCATTATATGATTCAAACTAATTATAATGGGTGGAGTGTAAAAACTAGCCATGTGAAGAGATTATTTGGAATATCAGATACATAATCAAGTAACGTTTCAGTTGATCAGGAATATAAGACAGCTACCTTAACTGAACAAGAGATGATCTGTTTCCAATATAGAGATCGAGGTAATTATCACGCAATGTTGTGTTATCTCAATGTCCTGGAGGAAACCTATCTTAGCATTCTAGATTGTCTACTCTTTACAGTCTAGTTGCATTATGTCTTTTGTCCATCTTTAGGCGTTGGAGTGTGGGCAATTATAAAGACTATAAAGGCATTAACAAACAACGTAAAAGTCTACCAAAGGAAGAAGGAGATTTTTGTTATTCAAACGGAAGAGGAGTGGGAACAGTTTTATGTCACCTACATCAAAAATCAACACATCAAGGTAGGCTTAAGTGATCTACAAACAAAATCAACACACAAGGTAGGCTCCAGTGATCTACAGACAAAATCAGCACATCAAGGTAGGCTCAGTGAAATCAATAGACAAAATCAGCACTTCAAGGTAGGCTCAGTGTAATCAATAGACAAAATCAGCACATCAAGGTAGGCTCAGTGTAATCAAAAGACAAAATCAGCACATCAAGGTAGGCTCAGTGAAATCAATAGACAAAATCAGCACATCAAGGTAGGCTCAGTGTAATCAATAGACAAAATCAGCACATCAAGGTAGGCTCTAGTGATCTACAGACAAAATCAGCACATCAAGGTAGACTCAAATGATCTACAGACACAATCAGCACATCAAGGTAGGCTCCAGTGATCTACAGACAAAATCAGCACATCAAGGTAGACTCAAGTGATCTACAGACAAAATCAGCACACAAGGTAGGCTCCAGTGATCTACAGACAAAACCAGCACATCAAGGTAAGCTCAGTGTAATCAATAGACAAAATCAGCACATCAAGGTAGGCTCCAGTGATCTACAGACAAAATCAGCACACAAGGTAGGCTTCAGTGATCTACAGACAAAATCAGCACATCAAGGTAGACTCCAGTGATCTACAGACAAAATCAGCACATCAAGGTAGGCTCCAGTGATCTACAGACAAAATCAGCACATCAAGGTAGACTCAAGTGATCTACAGACAAAATCAGCACACAAGGTAGACTCCAGTGATCTACAGACAAACTCAGCACCCAAGGTAGGCTCCAGTGATCTACAGACAAAATCAGCACATCAAGGTAGGCATTAGTGATCTACAGACACAATCAGCACATCAAGGTAGGCTCCAGTGATCCACAGACAAAATCAGCACATCAAGGTAGACTCAAGTGATCTACAGACAAAATCAGCACACAAGGTAGGCTCCAGTGATCTACAGACACAATCAGCACATCAAGGTAGGCTCCAGTGATCTACAGACAAAATCAGCACACAAGGAAGGCTCCAGTGATCTACAGACAAAATCAGCACATCAAGGTAGACTCCAGTGATCTACAGACAAAATCAGCATATCAAGGTAGACTCCAGTGATCTACAGACAAAATCAGCACATCAAGGTAGACTCCGGTGATCTACAGACAAAATCAGCACACAATGTAGGCTCCAGTGATCTACAGACAAAATCAGCACACAAGGTAGGCTCCAGTGATCTACAGACGAAATCAGCACATCAAGGTAGGCTCCAGTGATCTACAGACAAAATCAGCACATCAAGGTATACAGAGCACATTAGCCTTTAAATTGATGTAGTCCCCAGGATCTGATAATTTTGTTTCATGTTGGACATAAAAATGTAATAATAGTTTGCTAAAATGGCAAAGGGGTCTACTACATGTATATATATCATGTGATTGTTTAAAGATGAAGCACAGACGACACAGGGAACAGGTGAATGGGTTGTCTCAATCTGTCTACTACTATATAATGTCATTATTTGATTGAAGTACATGTTACCTTTTTATTTGTACATGTTACACTATTGACAGGTGCTGGGCTTTGACTGTGAGTGGGTGTTCCGTGGACGTCGACATCCAGTGGCGCTGTTGCAGCTAGCCACACAGGAAGGAGTATGTGCACTTGTTCGGATTTTCAAGTTTCCCACTTTTCCCGAGTCTCTTAAACAGTTATTAAATGACAGGAGGTAAGCAATCCATGTACACTCTCCAGAAGACTGATAATTACATTTTTAAATAATAGATGATTTATTTAGGTAATTACACTTCTTTTGTAATGGTCAGGGGAGTTTAAATCTATACTGTAGCCTGTAAGCAATAACTTATCCCTTGTATGGGACATGTAGCTATCTGGGGCTGTCCCAAACAGTCATGTGTAAGGTCATTTACTTGTCCTCTTTGTCCCCCATTCATTTATTGGAAGGGTTTATGGATTGGACTAGGCCATTTTCCACATGACTCCCTCTTTCCATACCCAGTACTAGAGAAGAGTACCGGTAAGTAACCAGCTTAATTTGTACCTGGATGACAAGCATTAGTATCTATGGGCTGTGTGGATCAGTATGTCTTTCTAGTCAATTAACATAAATAAGTAGGTACAAACAACATAAAATCTCTATCCGACTTACTTTATAAATTGCATTTATATTTGTTTGTTATATGTTGTAGCATATTGAAAGTGGGCGTGGCACCTAAAGATGACGCCAAGAAGTTGTTCCAGGACTACGGTTTGTTTGTGCGTGGATGTGTCGACCTGCGGCACATGCTCCTCCGGGTCCGAGGCATCTATCAATGGTGAGTGGCTCAGAAAGGTTAATCTGTACTGTGATTGGTGTAGAACTTTAGTAAAATGTTTATACAATGCTGTACTGAAATGGATAATCTTGTTTAAAGGTTACATTGAGGGTAGGTATAAAACTGTGGTGAAGGGCTAACAATGATAGGTGTAGAATCTTGATGAAGCTGAAGGAAAAAAGCTTCAAATTTTCATGTTTTGTTAAAAAAAAGTTGCTCCCTCTTCACCAAGTTGCCACATACCATGGCTAATTCATTGTCCATAGTTTTTCATGTCTGACTGGAGGGTTGTTACCCCATCATCCTAATTGTCAAATTAGTAAAATAATTTTCCTGTATTTTCTCAAGTAACATAGTTGGTACTATGTATCTCAATAAGTAATCAGTCTGGTTACAATACTGTGACAAGCTTAGAGTCTGATTTGTCTATATATTGGCCTGGCAGTATCCATACATGAGTCTGTATTTGTCTATATATTGGCCTGGCAGTATCCATACATGAGTCTGTATTTGTCAATATATTGGCCTGGCAGTCTCCATACATGAGTCTATATTTGTCTATATATTGGCCTGGCAGTATCCATACATGAGTCTGTATTTGTCTAGATGAAGGTTTGATAAATCCACTTAAGATAAGAACTTCATCTTGATATACATACGCTCATTAGTGTTAAGTTTTGTGTATATATTTAAAACCTATTATATATCCTTAATTCACATTAACATGTTAATGAAATGTCAATTATTAACTGTGTGAACTCTATATTGGTACTACAGCTCCAGCATTGGACTACAGGGCGTGGCTGAGGGAGTGCTCGGCGTAACCATCAGTAAAGACAAGTCTGTGCGCTGTGGTAATTGGGAGGCGGACATCTTCTCTTCTAGACAGGTCTGTTGTGTAATATACTTCCAGGCGTCTAAGTGTCGTTAACTTTACAGAATGTTCACTAAAAGTTCTATTTTAAATATGGTCCTAATTATTGAAATTCATAGAGAAAACTGGATGTGTCCAGATTTCAAAATGTTCTGATTTGTCAAATGTTCATCTCAAGACAAAATACATGAAAATACTTGAAACAGATGGTTAAAATGGTACATTTTAAAAATTAAGCTATTGGGCTCTGTTTGATTAAACTGCATGCAGCGCTAGTTCATTTCAAGAGAGGGAACAAATGTGGTGCCTGGCCGAAGAAATCTGTTTCAAGTTTGTTTCTTATTACAATCATAATGAAATTCTCTTGTTTGGGTCACCACAAAAAGCTGATAAACAACACTGAAAACAAGATTTAATTTATTTTTGAAAGTAAGGAAAGAAATTGGCATACTAGTTTACCAGGACTGAGGTATGCTGACCTAGCATTGTTATACTCAGCATCAGCTTAATTATACATAAATGGCAAAATTGCTCACATGATGCTTCATCATGCGTAAACAAATGTTAAATGGTGATATTTATATAATTATTAATATTTATTATAAAAAGCATACATATCCTTGGGTTTCACTCTCTATAAATATTCACACTGCTTATGTTTGAATGATTTTTTTCTGAATATATGCCTACTTGATTATCACCATCATCAGACCTACTATCAGTCAGGAATGATTGCTCTTTTGTGTTTCACTAATTTGATAGATGTCATGACCTTTGAATCTCTATGTAAAACAGAGGTCATGACATTTAACCACATGAAATACAGAGGTTGTGACCTTTGCATCTTCCTCATGTTATAGAGGTCATGACATTTGAACCCCATGTAGTACAGCGGTTGGGACCTTTGAAGCTCCCTCATGGGATAGAGGTCATGACATTCAAAACCAATGTTATACAGAGGTCGTAACCTTTGAATCTCCATCATGTTTAGAGGTCATGACATTTGAACCTCATGTAGTACAGAGGTCATGACCTTTGAATCTCCATCATGTTACAGAGGTCATGACATTGGAACCCTATGTAATACAGAGATTGTGACCTCTGAATCTCCATCATGTTACAGAGGTCATGACATTGGAACCCCATGTAATACAGAGATTGTGAATTTTTGAATCCTCTAGGTGTTAGAAGTAATTGACATTTCAGTCTCCTTTTTAGTTACATTGGTAATTGCTTTGAATCCCCTGAATATATTTTTCAGTTTGTCAGTTGAGATACAATTGCAAAAGTGTTTGTGAAAATAATGAAGAATGAAGAAATTTAACTGTAGTAATAGGAAGGAAGTAGTGACAAGAAAATATGCCTTCACTGGGGGGGGGGGGGTCAAAACTACTGACCCTTGACTCTCAAGCATGATGCTCCACTGCTGAGTTAAAGAGAAATTTCCTTTAACTTAAACTAGTACAGGGATTTTAATACTATGAACAGTACACATCATTTACACAGTATTCTTTGAAACATCTGTGAGTTTACAAGAGGTTGACTAACACTTATCCCCTTGCAACGAAAGTTCGAGGGGATATAGGATTCTGTCTGTACATATGTATGTTTGTATGCTACACTCAACGGAATTTCATGAGACTTCATACAAGTGTTGAGTATGACAATACCTTGAACAAGATTGCGTTTCAGGTAACTGCGTTGAAGGTCAAGGTCACTGTTACTATTTTTAGAGAAAAAAATGTTAATCGCTCAATCAACTTCATTCCTCAACAGAATTGCATGAAACTTGATACAAGTGTTTGGTATGGCAATACCTTGAACAAGTTTGCGTTTCAGGTTTCTACTTGAAGGTCGAGTTCACTGTTACTTTTTTCAGGAAAACTTTGTCATCGCTCTGTTGACTTCATTCCTCAATGGAATTTCGAGAAACTTGATACAATTGTTTGCCATGACAATATCTTCAACAGATGCAGTCCCTAGAGCAGTTACTGTTACATCATTGAATTTTCTATTCATTTCCTCGTACATATGGTACACAATGTGTGAATGCGTGGGGATTTGTATCACATGTGATGCCTTGTTACATTGGGGTTCCTTATATGTTTACAGAAAGAGTATGCGGCTGATGATGCTATCGTAGCTGTAGATATTTTTACACACCTGGTCCTAGCCAAGCTGCTGAACCGCCGACCCGAGGCAGATAGCATGCAGTCCGAGGTGTTCACCAACGAAAGTCGGTTCTGGAGAACATCTCGATCCTTATGTCAGGGGGTGGCTGACTCACAGTATAAACACAAGCCCAACAAAGGAACCCAGCATAAACCCTCGCGGATGTACAAACAGCTGGTGAAGGTGCTGACAGACAGGGAAAAACAGGTAGGATCTAAAGATCATCATTAAAAATTAATATACAGGTAAATTTTCCCCACCTTGGTCAAGGGGTAAGATTCTTAAATGTCTAGCCAGAGGCTTTGCTGTGGGCAAGAATTCCCACATGGATTGAGATATTTTCTGTCTTAATCCTAAAGAGGAAAAACAATTATATTTCTCCAACATCAAATACAAGTGGTAATTTTATGAAATACAAATATTCATATCATAATATCTAGCAAATCAAAGTTATCTTCCATAATCTTCTTTCTTTGATATGATGTCATGCAATTGTTATGACAGGGGATTCCCCCGTCTTTATCCAGGGTAAAACAGAAATATCTTTCCCTAACCGGAAGTGTAGATATCTCTGTCTAATGGGGGATAATTATAGAATCTATTACTCCTGTGTGATGGCGACAGGCAAATCTAGTTTAACTGGTGTGTCGCATGAGGCTTTCAAAGTACTAAACTTCTAAAACACATTCACATGTAACAGGTTTATATTTTCCCTAACAGACGAGGGAATGCACCTGTGCAGTGTGTGAGAAAAAGTTCCTATTCATCTTTCTAAGTATTGTACATGTGAAAATTAGATAACATACAATAGAACCATCCTGTCTTTCAAATATCCAATGAAAAGTCGATGAATATCTCTGTTGTTATTGAATGTTGCTTAAGAGACAGTGTTTTTTGTTTGGTTTCGAAACAATACTTTCCCAAAAATGAAACAAATAACTTATTTTTAAACAGGAATGGGCCTTGGGGTGGGCAAGGAAGGGGGGAGGGGTTATTTGCTATTTAATTACACTGATGCAGATCAAGCTTGCTTCATGCTTGTCTTAATGGTACACTCCTGTATGACAGAATGAAAGGAGTGGTGGAGAGTTCGACGAAGATGTCAGCAGTGAAACAGAATATTCTGAGGAACCAGACCAACAGTCTACAGTACCGGTACAGACCAAGAAAGCTGAGAGGGCCTATGTGACACGACAGCGCCCCCTATATGATAATTGTTGCCTTATTGCCCCTGACGGGGAACTTCTCTGTTCTTGTGATGTGAGGAAGGCTGCGTGGTACCTAGAGAGGGGACTGGCAGGTTAGTCTGTATAGGGATTCTATAGGGATTCTCTAGAGACAGGTACCCATAGACTAGTGATGGGCAATCAGTTTAAAATCGACAATCGGTATTTAATCAAAAGTGGTAAACCGATCAATGATCGATTGCATAATCGGTTTATAATTTTATTGGACTGAATAACCAAATAAAGTGAGAACACTACTATTACATTGTTCACTATACATTAGCTAGTTTTCGTTCTTTTATAACTAAAGGATATCAAGCAACTTTTATGCATACCGGTAGTTATCGATCATATACTAAAAACCATAGGATATATGACGTTCAAAGCATACTTTAAATGGAAGACATTTAAACACTTTGATTTCAATGATGAACCGATTATATTGATTGTGGAACCGGCAATCGATGATTGGAATCAGAAGGGTAAACCGATCAATTTTCGATTATAATCGATCATCAGCCAAACACTACCATAGACACACCTGTCTATACAGGTATCCACTGTAGACAGGTACCCAGACAGGAACTTTAGAGGTGTGCTATGTAGACATGCACAGAAACCTTGATGTAGGGATACTAAAGAAGAGATATTTTTTGTCATTGAAATACTGTGATTAAATAAATTAGGGCAACTATTGTAAACAAGACAATGTGATATGGTTTAACAGACAAGGTATCTGATGAACCACTGACAGTGAAGCTGAGGTTTGAGCCAGCAGGTCGGCCGACCGATGACTACTACCTCCTAGACAAGGACAACATCTGTGTCGTGTGTGGTGTGGACGAGTCCTTCATCCGCAAGTGTGTCATCCCACGAGAATACAGGAAGTAAGTATGCCAGGGTGTGTGACTACAGGAAGTAAGTATGCCAGAGTGTGTGACTACAGGAAGTAAGTGTGTCATCCCAAAGGAATACAGGAAGTAAGTATGCCAGAGTGTGTGACTACAGGAAGTAATTAGTGTGTCATCCCAAGAGAATACAGGAAATGAGTATGCCAGAGTGTATGACTACAGGAAGTAAGTGTGTCATCCCAAGAGAATACAGGAAGTAAGTATGTCAGAGTGTGTGACTACAGGAAGTAATTAGTGTGTCATCCCAAGAGAATACAGGAAATGAGTATGCCAGAGTGTGTGACTACAGGAAGTAAGTGTGTCATCCCAAGAGACTACAGGAAGTAAGTATATGCCAGAGTGTGTGACTACAGGAAGTAAGTGTGTCATCCCAAGAGAATACAGGAAGTAAAGATGCCAGAGTGTGTGACTACAGGAAGTAAGTTTGTCATCCCAAGAGAATACAGGAAGTAAGTATATGCCAGAGTGTGTGACTACAGGAAGTAAGTTTGTCATCCCAAGAGAATACAGGAAGTAAGTATGTCAGAGTGTGTGACTACAGGAAGTAATTAGGGTGTCATCCCAAGAGAATACAGGAAATGAGTATGCCAGAGTGTATGACTACAGGAAGTAAGTGTGTCATCCCAAAGGAATACAGGAAGTTACATTGTTTTGATGTTAATTATTATTGTGATATTGTTTGTTGACATTGTTGTGATTTTTATTGCCATGGTTACCTGACGTTTGTTCACACTGTTGTGATTTATATTGCCATGGTTACCTGACGTTTGTTCACAATGTTGTGATTTATATTGCTATGGTTACCTGACGATTACTGACACTGTTGTGAGTTATGGTGCCACTGTTACCTGATGTTTACTGACATTGTTGTGATTTATGGTTCCACTGTTACCTGACGTTTACTGACATTGTTGTGAATAATGGTGCCACTGTTACCTGACGTTTACTGACATTGTTGTGAGTAATGGTGCCACTGTTACCTGACGTTTACTGACATTGTTGTGAGTTATGGTGCCACTGTTACCTGACGTTTACTGACACTGTTGTGAGTTATGGTGCCACTGTTACCTGATGTTTACTGACATTGTTGTGATTTATGGTTCCACTGTAACCTGACGTTTACTGACATTGTTGTGAGTTATGGTGCCACTGTAACCTGACGTTTACTGACATTGTTGTGATTTATATTGCCACTGTTACCTGACATTTACTGACATTGTTGTTAGTTATGGTGCCACTGTTATCTGACGTTTACTGACATTGTTGTGAGTTATGGTGCCACTGTTACCTGACGTTTACTGACATTGTTGTGATTTATGGTTCCACTGTTACCTGACGTTGACTGACAATGTTGTGAGTTATGTTGCCACTGTTACCTGACGTTTACTGACATTGTTGTGAGTTATGGTGCCACTGTTACCTGACGTTTTCTGACATTGTTGTGATTTATGGTTCCACTGTTACCTGACGTTGACTAACAATGTTGTGAGTTATGTTGCCACTGTTACCTGACGTTTACTGACATTAATGTGAGTGATGGTGCCACTGTTATCTGACGGTTACTGACATTGTTGTGAGTTATGTTGCCACTGTTACCTGACATTTACTGACATTGTTGTGAGTTATGGTGCCACTGTTACCTGAAGTTTACTGACATTAATGTGAGTTATGGTGCCACTGTTATCTGACGTTTACTGACATTGTTGTGAGTTATGGTGCCACTGTTACCTGACGTTTACTGACATTAATGTGAGTTATGTTGCCACTGTTACCTGACATTTACTGACATTGTTGTGAGTTATGTTGCCACTGTTACCTGACGTTTCCTGACATTAATGTGAGTTATGTTCCCACTGTTACCTGACGTTTACTGACATTGTTGTGAGTTATGTTGCCACTGTTATCTGACGTTGACTGACATTGTTGTAAATAATGGTGCCACTGTTACCTGACGTTTACTGACATTGTTGTGAGTAATATGTTGCCACTGTTACCTGACGTTTACTGACATTGTTTGTTACTTTGACCCAGGTATCTACCTCACCAGCTTAAGGAACATTCCTCACACGATGTACTGTTGATGTGTGTTCCATGCCATATGCAGAGTACACAACACGATTATGTGATACGCCAGCAGCTAGCTGAGGAATGTAACGCACCAATAGACAATGGTTCAGGTATCAAACTTCACCATGACGAGGATCTACGCAAGATCAAGTCTGCAGCCAAGTAAGTGTACTATACAGAAATATTTATAAAATAAAAATTATCACACCTGGAAAAAGAAGATTCCCTGATCAAATAAGATTCAAATATGAATCTAGGTATTATTTTTACGTTATGAAAATAATTTTTCACTAGTATTTATAACTTCAGAATATAACAGACGTATTTGCTTTGCCAGGTGTTCCGACCCATTTATCATGTTATAGTTTGTATGTCCTTATAATATTGGTAGTGGTTTACGAAAGCTGTAAGTTACCCTTTTTTTTAAATTCTCATTGAATCATCAAATGTTTTTTAGACAATGTGTTTATTCTAATATATAAATATTTGTCAGTATATTACTGAACTGTTGATATTTGTGCTGTAGAACCAATAATTCAGATTGTACGGGAGACATAGGATTGGTTCAGATAAAACAGTGTTTCAACAGCCAGTCCCACAATATTAATGCAAGCTGTTTATGCAGACACAACGTAACCTGTAGTAATTAAGACTTTAGGTAGTTAAGGTTCAGATAATACCAGGTATTAGAAAGCATTGATGAAATGTTGTGATTAAGTGTTAATGTTTGTTTGTTTATTTCAGAGCATTGTTAAAATGTCGTGAAACGATACCAGCCGAAAGGCGAGCTGCATTAGAAAACATCGTAAAAACTTTCTACGAAACTGAGGAGATCACAGAGGAATTATTAAATGAAGCCGTTAACATAGACCATAAGTAAGTTACCTGAAACAGAGACCATAAGTAAGTTACCTGAAACAGAGACCATAAGTAAGTTACATGAAACATAGACCATAAGTAAGTTACCTGAAACAGAGACCATAAGTAAGTTACCTGAAACATAGACCATAAGTAAGTTACCTGAAACATAGACCATAAGTAAGCTACCTGAAACAGACACCATAAGTAAGTTACCTGAAACATAGACCATAAGTAGGTTACCTTAAACAGAGACCATAAGTAAGTTACCTGAAACATAGACCATAAGTAAGTTACCTGAAACAGAGACCATAGGTAAGTTACCTTAAACAGAGACCATAAGTAAGGTATCTGAAACATTGACCATAAGTAAGTTACCTGAAACAGAGACAATTAAGTAAGTTACCTGGAACATAGGCCATAAGTAAGGTACCTGAAACATAGACCATAAATAAGTTACCTGAAACAGAGACCATAGGTAAGTTACCTTAAACAGAGACCATAAGTAAGGTATCTGAAACATTGACCATGAGTAAGTTACCTGAAACAGAGACCATAAGTGAAACAGAGACCATAAGTAAGTTACCTGTAACAGAGACCATAAGTAAGTTACCTGAAACAGAGACAATTAAGTAAGTTACCTGGAACATAGACCATAAGTAAGTTATCTGAAACATAGACATAAGTAAGTTACCTGAAACATAGACCATAAGTAAGCTACCTGAAACAGAGACCATAAGTTAGTTATCTGAAACAGAGACCATAAGTAAGTCACCTGAAACAGAGACCATAAGTAAGTTACCAGAAACAGAGACCATAGGTAAGTTACCTGAAACATAGACCATAAGTTAGTTACCTGGAACATAGACCATAAGTAAGGTACCTGAAACATAGACCATAAATAAGTTACCTGAAACAGAGACCATAGGTAAGTTACCTTAAACAGAGACCATAAGTAAGTTACCTGAAACTGAGGCCATAGGTAAGTTACCTGAAACATATACCATAAGTAAGTTACCTGAAACATAGACCATAAGTAACTTACCTGAAACAGAGACCATAAGTAAGTTACGTGAAACAGAGACCATAGGTAAGTTACCTGAAACATAGACCATAAGTTAGTTACCTGGAACATAGACCATAAGTAAGTTACCTGAAACAGAGTCCATAAGTAAGTTACCTGAAACAGAGACCGTAAGTAAGTTACCTGAAACATAGACCATAAGTTAGTTACCTGGAACATAGACCATAAGTAAGTTATCTGAAACATAGACCGTAAGTAAGTTACCTGAATCATAGATTATAAGTAAGTTATCTGAAACATAGACCATAAACAAGTTACCTAAAGCAAAGACCATAAGTAAGTTACCTGAAACAGAGACAATTAAGTAAGTTACCTGGAACATAGACCATAAACAAGTTACCTAAAACAAAGACCGTAAGTAAGTTACCTGAAACATTGACCATAAGTAAGTTACCTGAAACAGAGACAATTAAGTAAGTTACCTGGAACATAGGCCATAAGTAAGGTACCTGAAACATAGACCATAAACAAGTTACCTAAAGCAAAGACCATAAGTAAGTTACCTGAAACAGAGTCCATAAGTAAGTTACCTGAAACAGAGACCGTAAGTAAGTTACCTGAAACATAGACCATAAGTAAGTTTCCTGAAACATAGACCATAAGTTAGTTACCTGTAACAGAGACCATAAGTAAGTTACCTGAAACCTTGACCATAAGTAAGTTACCTGAAACAGAGACAATAAGTAAGTTACCTGGAACATAGACCATAAGTAAGTTATCTGAAACATAGACCGTAAGTAAGTTACCTGAAACAGAGACCATAAGTGACCATAAGTAAGTTACCTGAAACAAAGAACATAAGTTAGTAACCTGAACAGAGACCATAAGTAAGTTACCTGAAACCTTGACCATAAGTAAGTTACCTGAAACAGAGACCAAAGGTAAGTTACCTGAAACAGAGACCATAAGTAATTTGCCTGAAACAGAGACCATAAGTAAGTTACCTAAAACATAGACTATAAGTAAATTACCTGAAACAGAGACCATAAGTAAGTTATCTGAAACATAGACCATAAACAAGTTACCTAAAGCAAAGACCATAAGTAAGTTACCTGAAACAGAGACAATAAGTAAGTTACCTGGAACATAGACTATAAGTAAGTTACCTGAAACATAGACCATGAGTTAGTTACCTGAAACAGAGACCATAAGTAAGTTTCCTGAAACATAGACCATAAGTTAGTTACCTGTAACAGAGACCATAAGTAAGTTACCCGAAACAGAGACAATAAGTAAGTTACCTGAAACATAGACAATAAGTTAGTTACCTGAAACAGAGACCATAAGTAAGGTATCTGAAACATTGACCATGAGTAAGTTACCTGAAACAGAGACCATAAGTGACCATAAGTAAGTTACCTGAAACAAAGAACATAAGTTAGTAACCTGAACAGAGACCATAAGTAAGTTACCTGAAACCTTGACCATAAGTAAGTTACCTGAAACAGAGACAATAGGTAAGTTACCTGAAAGAGAGACCATAAGTAAGTTACCTGAAACATTGACAATAAGTAAGTTACCTGAAACAGAGACCATAAGCAAGTTACCTGAAACATAGACCATAAGTAAGCTACCTGAAACATAGACCATAAGTAAGTTACCCGAAACAGAGACAATAAGTAAGTTACCTGAAACATAGACCATAAGTAAGCTACCTGAAACATAGACCATAAGTAAGTTATCTGAAACATAGACATAAGTAAGTTACCTGAAACATAGACCATAAGTTAGTTACCTGGAACATAGACCATAAGTAAGTTATCTGAAACATAGACCGTAAGTAAGTTACCTGAATCATAGATTATAAGTAAGTTATCTGAAACATAGACCATAAGTAAGCTACCTGAAACAGAGACCATAAGTTAGTTATCTGAAACAGAGACCATAAGTAAGTCACCTGAAACAGAGACCATAAGTAAGTTATCTGAAACAGAGACCATAAGTAAGTCACCTGAAACAGAGACCATAAGTAAGTTACCTGAAACAGAGGCCATAGGTAAGTTACCTGAAACAGAGACCATAAGTAAGTTACCTGAAACATAGACCATAAGTAAGTTACCTGAAACAAAGAACATAAGTTAGTAACCTGAACAGAGACCATAAGTAAGTTACCTGAAACATAGACCATAAGTAAGTTACCTGAAACAGAGACCATAAGTAAGTTACCTGAAACATAGACCATAAGTAGGTTACCTGAAACAAAGAACATAAGTAAGTTACCTGAAACATAGACCGTAAGTAAGTTACCTGAATCATAGATTATAAGTAAGTTATCTGAAACATAGACCATAAGTAAGTTACCTGAAACAGAGACCATAAGTAAGTTACCTGAAACATAGACCATAAGTAGGTTACCTGAAACATAGAACATAAGTAAGTTACCTGAAACATAGACCGTAAGTAAGTTACCTGAAACAGAGACCATAAGTAAGTTACCTGAAACAGAGACCATAAGTAAGTTATCTGAAACAGAGACCATAAGTAAGTTACCTGAAACAGAGACCATAACTAAGTTACCTGAAACAGAGACCATAAGTAAGTTACCTGAAACAGAGACCATAAGTCCAAATTTTAAGTGACAGCAATAGTGTGATGAATATTTAGTTAATGTTGATTGCACTACAAGTGTTGAAATACTAAAACTGACTAGGGGTTAGGTGCATAAGTTGTATTTATACTGAAAATTATTTGGATTATGCATATGGCATTTGTAAAATTTAGTACAGAGCTCAAGCAATAACTGAGGCAGAATAAAATATATTTAAGCAATAAATATTTTTGCAAATGCTGTTATGGTCCTATAACACACATTGCTATTGATGACAAACTTAATAAAGTCTACCAGGCTTTATGTAAGTTAGTCAACATTAGAAATGTGTGTTATAGGACCATTACAATATTTGCTTAAACATTCGGTATCTATATTTACATTTTAATAGAGTAGTTCTGTTTTTTTTGATATTTCGAACAGTTTTGTGAACGGAAAATTCAGTGTTGACAACAATGAAATTGATGATGTCACAATAGAGATTGATGATGTTACAATAACAAATTTTGTTATAGTCTCATAACAACATCTGCCTTCTGAATGTATTGCAATGGAAGGATGCAGAGCAAGTGTATATATTATGTATTGACAAATTATAAACAGTAAGGTATTTTTCAGGATCCTAAATAAATGGTACAAACCGCACGGAAAGAGAGTGGTGACGTACATGAAGAGACATGGAGGATTGTTCAACTTTGAGAAAAGATGGCGACGACATTTCCTGAACTGTATGAAACCCAAATTCATGCCTAAAAACTGGTCAGTGAATCATCGCCATGAACATCACCGTGACGATGACGAGAGTGATTCTGACGACAGTGTGATAGTCACAGATAATGTGTAACTTACACAGAGTACGGTCCTGAACATTAAAGATGGCTTCCCCATGGTTTTGGCAATGCTTCGTTATTACAAATGACAATTTTATCATAAAAATATTCAGGTAGAAAGAAAGTTATCCCTTTACTTTCCTCTTTCATTTCTTAATTTCCGTTCCATATGTAAAAACGTTTATTAATAACTGACCGATAAACCAGGATCGTTTTTGAAATATTATTTTTATAAAATAGATTTTCAAACTACGAGAAAAAAAAATGAATTCATAAGCATTCTAACATTTAAACTGTCTGTTTGACCCTAATCAGCAGCTACTAAAGCTTATATACAGGTAAATTGACATAAAAGTATCATCAAATGAAAAATGGAAACATAGAAATATTTCTATGCATTGGATGACAGTTTATGGGGCCGTTTCTCCATAAGTGTCAGCTTTTGGGTACAGTGACAGTATGTTCTTCAGTGTATGCTGAACCATATTTTCATATTTTAGGGGCCAAAAACTGCTTGATTGGACTTGTTTAAAAGGTTTTGGTATATATTTAATGTCAGTTTGTCATATATCTAATTTTATATTTGAAAGAAAATTCAGTAGACCAAAGCCAGAATGATATAAACTTTACTGATTTTACATCAATTATGAAAAAGTTTTTTCCAACTTATAAATATAATGTATAAACCACTCTTGTTGGCCCACTGAGAATTGAACCCAATGGTTTTAGTGAAAGGCAAGGCAGTCAGAATTATATAAATCAGTTTCAGGTATAGACAGGGCCCATGCTAAGTATCTATTACAAAGCTAACATTTGCTGAAATAACTATGGCATGAAACAATACTGGTGCAGTTCATTACACTAACTAAAAGGTAAGTTATGGCCGTGTTTGTGCTAGTTGACTACATGTTAAGGCGAAGGTAAACTCAGCAACCCTTGTATTTCATAGTAGACCTACCCTTCAGAACAGAAAGACACTGTATAACCCTGGTAGGCACCTACCAGAATGGGATTTTGAAGGATGTCAAAGCACAATAAGAATGTTTCTTATATTGTACTCTTTGCATGTTATTTAGTCATTTTTAGCTAAATACCTGATCGGAAGGCCCAAGTGAAGCTTTGGCAGGACAAAAAGTGTTAATCTTAAAACACTATGCCATAAGAATAGAAGAAATTTGACTTAATTTTCTTAAGCCAAGATAATTTAACCTCTATGTAACTTTAGTAGACTCTACAATGCATTGATCTGGATGAGTCCATTATGGTCTACAGAGGTGAAAGGGTTAGATAGTAAGTCTGAAAGTCTGAAATAAGGTGAAAACATTTGTTTATGTAATTTGCATAATTAAATCGAATTGCAAGTGTGATGTATTTCATAATTTTGTATGTATATGTGTGGATATATACATGTACACTGTGTTGGCATCCATTATTGCGTAAAATGTTTATCTATAATGCTTGGGTCAGAGCTGTGTAAAGGGAGGCGACTCTGGAGTCCTTGGGCATATTTGGACTAGACTCCCAAACTACCGGGCGGATTTCAGCCTCACTTCAGAAATACTCAGATGAGTGTTGAATAGCTGTTGGGCCTCTTCTGTTCGTAGTTTCAGTGTAGGTTCGATTGACATCGTCATTTATGTCAGTCATTTTCATTTGCCTAATTATGGAAATAGAAAAACAGTTTTTGATGAAACTGGTGGTAAAGACAGTTTCTGATGATTACTGTCGTTACTAGTTGGGAACAACAAACAACCAGGATGACTGGTGTCATATGTCTGAAATGTGAATACTTTCGTTACCAAGGTGCTAATGTCTACTTTCAATTTTTTTTTAGGATCATTTCTATTTGTTTTGGCTAAGTTTTAGGTCAACAATTCTACGTGTTTAAGTGTTTTAGCATGTTCTTTACTTGAGAGTTGCGCTACACTTGTTGTGTATTTCTACTGTAAAATGCTACCTTATGATGTTTTCCGATTAGCTAAGACTTGATTTCACTACTATTTACCAGATCAATTTTAACCTTACAAAGTTAAAATGTCGTGTCATTGCCCATTTCATGTGGAGTAGAGAGAAATTCTAAGATCCTATATAACAAAAGAAAACGTTCATAAGTGATAGGGGTTACAGCTCTTGTAAAAGCTAACAATAGGAACGCATAACTGATAATGATTGAAGTACTGAAAATCAACAGGAACTCATTTTTAACATTGATACATATATTTTGGAGTAAGTGCTTCTGTATATTAAAAAAATCAAAATTATAATTTTGTTTTAAATCTTATTTATACATACATGTAGTCTTTGAGTTGAGCTATTGATTGTACACATCCCAAGCCAACTTCACAAACAGTGACACATACGGAAGGGAACATGATTTTCACCAGTGATAACACTTCGATATACGATAAGAAGAACGTAGCCCGAATCTGCAGCAAAAAGTTAATCTGAGGTAGTACGTTGTCTGAAAATGCTGAAGAAGACGGGCTGAACCCGCAGCAGAAGTAAATCTGAGGTACATTGTAGAACGTAGTTTGAAAATGCTGAAGAAGGCAGGCTGAACATGCAGCGGAAGTAAATCTGAGGTACATAGTAGTCTGAAAATGCTAAAGGAAGGCAGGCTGAACCCGCAGCAGAAGTAAATCTGAGGTACATTGTAGAACGTAGTCTGAAAATGCTGGAGAAGGCAGGCTGAACCCGCAGCAGAAGTAAATCCGAGGTACATTGTAGAACGTAGTCTGAAAATGCTGAAGAAGCCGGGCTGAACCCGCAGCAGAAGTAAATCTGAGGAACCTTGTAGAACGTAGTCTGAAAATGCTGAAGAAGCCGGGCTGAACCCGCAGCAGAAGTAAATCTGAGGAACCTTGTAGAACGTAGTCTGAAAATGCTGAAGAAGGCGGGCTGAACCCGCAGCAGAAGTAAATCTGAGGAACCTTGTAGAACGTAGTCTGAAAATGCTGAAGAAGGCGGGCTGAACCCGCAGCAGAAGTAAATCTGAGGAACCTTGTAGAACGTAGTCTGAAAATGCTGAAGAAGACGGGCTGAACCCGCAGCAGAAGTAAATCTGAGGTTCATTGTAGAACGTAGTCTGAAAATGCTAAATCTGAGATACATTGTAGAACGTAGTCTGAAAATGCTGAAGAAGGCAGGCTGAACCCGCATTATAAGTAAATCTGAGGTACATTGTAGAACGTAGTCTGAAAATGCTGAAGAAGGCAGGCTGAACCCGCAGCAGAAGGTAGCCTTGCAAAAAGAACTAGACTTGCCTGATAACCATGGATACATATCTACGTTTTTGCTAACCACGTTACAATCTTTCCGAATACACATCAGTGATAAAGATAAGCGCCTATCTCGTTTAATCCTAACAAACGTTTTATCGCTGGCCCACTCCCATTCCTAGTACCATTAAATCAGGGCCACAGTCGTATTTTGACACTGTATACTCGAGAAATGGAATGCGGATTATGAAGAATTCAAAACATCTTTTTGATCAATCTTGAACATCCTCTTCTTGAAATGCTTCATTTGTGGATTTTTTACATTAAAACTCTTTACACTATACCATACCTCATACCAAGCTGATGGAACACATTCGTTCTCTTATTGTGAGAGCTCTCTATATCGGGAGAGGTAAACGGCGATATGAGTATATCGTTGTAAACTATTTTGAAGCAGATTTTGTGAAAGCAAAACAAACGCCAAAATGAAAATATACCGAGGAGGAAATTGTGATAAAGATTTAGTTCCTGTTTTTTAGCTCACCTGGTCCTTTGAGCTTATGCCATACCGCAGCGTCCGTCGTCCGTCGTCCGTCAACTTTACACTACTAGTCATGAACCACTGAGCGGATTTTAACAAAATTTGGTGTGGAGCATCCTTGGGTGAAGAAGAACCAATTTTGTATAAATGGTGGGTCTGGCCCCCCAGGGGCCTGAGGGGCGGGGCCAAATTGGGGAAATATAGCAAATTATTCTTTAAAATCTTTCTTCTTCTGCAGGAATGAAAGGATTTGTTCCATATTTGGTCTGAAGCATCCTTGGGGGAAGGGGAACAAAGTTTGTTTAAATGGTGGGCCTGGCCTCCCTGGGGGCTTAGGGGCGGGGCCCAATAGGGGAAATATAGCAAATTATTCTTTAAAATCCTTCTTCTGTAGGAATGAAAGGATTTGGTCCATATTTGGTCAGTAGCATTCTTGGGGGAAGGGGAACAAAGTTGTATAAATGGTGGGTCTGGTCCCCCTGGGGGCTGACGGGCGGGGCCCAATAGGGGGAATATAGCAAATTCTTTAAAATCCTTCCTCTTCTGTAGGAATGGAAGGATTTGTTCCATATTTGGTCTGAAGCATCCTTTGGCGAAAGGGAACCAATTTTGTATGAACTGCTAATCTGGCCCCCAGGTGCCTGAGGGGCGGGGCCCAACAGGGGAAATATAGCAAATTATTCTTTAAAATCCTTCTTCTTCTGTAGGAATGAAAGGATTTGGTCCATATTTGGTGTGGAGCATCCTTGGGTAGTCGTGAACCATTTTTTTTATAAACCATGGGTCTGGCTCACCAGGGGCCTCAGGGGCGGGGCCCAATAGGGGAAACATAGCAAATCATTCTTAAGAAAGGATTTGGTTCTTATTTTGTCAGAAACATCCTTTGGGGAAGGGGAACAAAGTTTGTATAAATGTTGGGTCTGGCCCCCTGGGGATTTAGGGGCGGGGCCCAATAGGGGAAATATAGCAAATTCTTTAAAATCCTTCTTCTTCTGTAGGAATGAAAGGATTTTTTTCATATTTGGTCTGAAGCATTCTTGGGTGAAGGGGAACCAATTTTGTATTAACCGTGGATCTGGCCCCCCAGGTGCCTGAGCCGTGGGCCCAATAGGTGAAACATAGCAAATTATTCTTTAAAATCCTTCTTCTTCTGTAGGAATGAAATGATTTGGTCCATATTTGGTGTGGAGCATCATTGGGTAGTGGGGAACCAATTTTGTATAAACGGTGGGTGTGCCCCTCCCCCCGGGACCTGAGGGGTGGGGCCCAATAGGGGAAATATATGTAAATCTTCAAAATCCTTCTTCTACCATAGGGATTAAGAGATTTTATCCTAATTTTGTCTGGATCAATCTTTGACCAAGGGGGCTTACTTTTGTGTAATTTGTGGGTATGACCCCCCCTAGGGGCATAGGGGCTCTGCTTGAAGTTTGTTCTTGCTATATCTCAAGTAATGGATGAATCTTTCTGAACTTACAGCACCTACCATGGAGTGCTATACCTTAACTTCATACCAATTATTTTAAACATATTCAGGTGAGCGATACAGGCCCTCTAGGCCTCTTGTTTGCCATTGTTTTATCAATTTCGAGTTCGAATTATGTGGGGGGGTTTTCTGAACCTACTGAAAGGAGAGTGTGAATCTGTTGAGAAATGTAGTCTGGATCGATTGACGAGACCAATCTAAATATATCGGGGAAATGATCTCCAAAGAAACTTTTGAAAAAGACAGCTAAAAGGTTAACCTGGTTCTTTTGAAGGTAGTAGCATAAATCTACTGAAGACGCTAGTTTGAATCGGCTGAAGTAGTTGTAGTGTTCATTATGGAACATTCAGACAGGATCTGCTTGAGAAGTTTACCATAAATCTACCGATGATAGTAGGCGCAATCTCCATAGCAAAGTGCTAGTTGACAAAGGACATGTGTTGTTTATATTGTACAGCAACAAGCACACCAAGAGGTGAGAGAATGTTTAATTGGTTTTCATAGTTATGAAATTATCGAATTTCAGCCATCGCTTGATCAATTTTACGAAGGCAGAATCTATGTACATGTACTTTAAATTGCTTCAATGCTTGGCATAAATAATAAAGGCCAGTTAAAACTTAGGTATATCTTGAAAATTTCCCGTAAGGTTTGACGGTCTTGTAAATATAAGTTTTGCGTAATACATCCATGAATATTCATAATTAAAAGTACAATATTTGTCAGATAACATGAAATATCGCTGAAAAATGAGTATTCTAATAGCTGCAAACTTCCTAATATGTTTAATAACGCGAATAAACTTGTTTTTGTGTTTTAAAAAACAACAAAAAAAGTTAAATTGCATTTGAAAACAAATCTCTATTTTCATTTCACAACATGTGATGTATTTTGTACGGATATTCGTCTCGGTGGAGCACAAACTTCCCACTTTAACATGCTTTTATCGTAACATAATTTGTTTGGTCTGGATTTTGGCTATACTTAGCGTATGTGTCTATATTTATTCAGCTAATTATATATCACTTTTGTCAAGTTTTCGAATCATTTTACACTGCCGAGACATGGCGTGGGATGTTGGCTTCGTGCCGAATCGTCACGTCTCTGTTACTGTTTAGCCTCAGAAGTGACATGCAATACTTCCCGGTTGATGGTGTTTTTGATGTCAGTGATACCACCCTTATGGAGTAAGCATTTATATAGCGAAAACAAACTCTCCCCTTCACGAGTTTTTGTGTCGCGAAAACTAGAAACAGGTGTGCCACAGCGCCAACACACAACGACGAAATATGCCACAGCGTAAAAAAACAACGACAAAATGTACCACAGCGTCAACACAAACCGACGAAATATGCCACAGCGTCAATAAAAAACGAAAAATTTGTCACAGCGTCAATATACAACAACGAAATATACCACAGCATCAAAATAAAATGACAAAATATACCACAGCGTCAACACAAAACGACAAATTATACCACAGCGTCAATACGAAACGACAAAATATACCAAAGCATCAATACAAAACGACAAAATATACCACAGCGTCAATACAAAACGACGAAATATGCCACAATTTCATCACACAACGACATAATATACCGCAGCGTCAATACAAAATGACAAAATATACCACAGCGTCAATACACAACGACAATATATACCACATGCAAGTAATTCCGGAAATCTGTAAATGTCATCTTAAAGACTATTAGTAATTATATTAAATACTTTATATAATAAAATGTTCGTACATCCTGATATATGTTATTGTAGATAAAAATATACCAGTGCCGAATCGTGACGTCTCTGTTACGGTTAAGCCTCAGAAGTGACATGTGATACTTCCCGGTTGATGGTGCTTTTGATGTCCTTGATACCACCCTTATGGAGTTAGCATTTATATAGCGAAACCAAACTCTCCCCTTCACGAGTTTTTCGTGTCAATAAAACTAGAAACAGGTTTGCCACAGCGTCAACACAAACCGACGATATATGCTACAGCGTCAATAAAAAACGAAACATTTGTCACAGCGTCAATATACAACAACGAAATATACCACAGCATCAAAATAAAATGACAAAATATACCACTGCGTCAACACAAAACGACAAATTGTTTCTACCCTTGTGTCTCCTTTGTCACTACCTTTGTGTCACCGTTGTCTCTACTCTTGTTCCTTCGTTGTTTCAACCCTTGTTTTTCCATTGTTTCTACCTCTACCCTTGTTTCTCCGTT